CACTGGTGTCCTGCCAGCGCATACCGTTAGCGCAGGCGGGGTTACCATTCCATTATCACCCATTATTAAAGAAACAAACCCTATCAACCTGAAACACAGCAATGCAAACACAACTGCTTTACAGGAAACACGAATGGGACAGACGTAGCCAAGCAAACGACTTTTCTACAAAGTCTCCCTTTGGTAAACGATGTCGCGGGTAAAAGCTATTAAATTTAAAAAAAAAACTGTTTCAACATGTAAAAATTGCTCAATATTTTTTTTTTTTTTAAGAAATCCACTATCTCTGGCGTTTGTAATTGCTTAGTAATTATCTGAACTATTACTTAACGTTATCTCAACAGACACTTAACACTTCGTTTAGTTAAGCCGCCACCATTTGTAACCCGAGTTGTGTAATGAATACGTTGCATATCTATTAACCAACTAATGAACTAAACAATTGGTAAGATAATACAGTAATTTGCTGAAACGTCAGCCGAATCAGCCTTTTTTTGTATGGATGATAATGGGATGGTAACCCCGCCTACGCTGTCCGTATACACTGGCGGGACACCAGTGAGGTGAAGATGAAATAAAGTGAAGAAGCATAAGTGAAGATGAAGCAGGACAGTTAGCCCATCGTGACAAATTCACTAGTGAATCAATCACGGTGGTTCCCAGGGGAAACCGCGAGGAGGTCGACCTGATAGAGTATATTGCTAGTAATAGAGTTCTTAATTCTCTTCTACATATAGCATTACAGGGCAACTTAGTATCCTTAGTATAAGGGATATTGCAAATTTGCTTGGTTACATAATATAACAATCAATAATCTATATAATTTATAGGGATTGTTAGTAATGGAGACTACGAATCCCATTGCTAGCAATATACCCAACCAGGTCGACCTCCTCGCAGTTCCCCCTGGAAACTATCATGATTAATTCCAGATGAATTCATCATGATGGGCTAACTGGCCTGTTTTCATCCTCATCGATCACCATTCACTGGTGCTCCGCCAGCGTATCCCGTTAACGCAGGCGGAGTTAGCATTCCATATTCAGCCAATAAAAAAAAATCTATATAATTCTAGTCATATATATAATATACCTATGTATTACTAGATGACCAGATAATCGTTGTTTTCCCCCTTAACGCCACCTAGCGGGTTAAATTTTTCGTTATCAAGATAAAAACTATCCCATCTCTCAAGTTGGAGCAAACAATACATGTTTACAAGCGTCATTAAAATCGGTTGAGCGGTTTTTGAGATTATCGTGAACGGACATCGTGACACGGGATTTTTATATATTAAGATTAAGATAAAATACGACTATAAATAGGCATGTATGTGTTATGTATGTAGACTACTTTAGTAAAAGTAGGTCAATGACGTCACGCGAATAACACGTTAGCGAGAATGCAATGCAATCGTGACTTTAGGAAAGGCAGACACCCGGTTCCGTGGTGTAGTGGTTATCACATCTGCTTTACACGCAGAAGGCCGCCAGTTCGATCCTGGCCGGAATCATAGTTTTTGCATTTGTTTTCATTGTTTATTTTTATTTTTAAACCACGATAATCAAGATTTTTTTATTAAATATAAATTTTTGGACAACTTTTTTGTACTCTTTTCAATGTCTTCTTTTTAAACAAAAAATCCTTATTAAAATATAAACTTTATGTGTATCGTTTTATTTTTTTTATAGATTTTTTTTTTAAATCACAATTGACAAGTATATTTCTTCTATTTTATTTTTTTATTATATCATCTATTTTATATTAATAAAAATGCCTATGGATAAAAAAAAAGTTATTACTTTAATATTTCTGATTTTTGATTAATAATTTTAATAAATACCATATTTATATGACCTCTTTGATAATTCGTTTATGATAAACTAGCCATTACCTGCATCTTGGTTTGCATAATATTGACATATTTATAGATATGCTCTTCTCCATTCCAAATACACATTCGATATACACATATGTATACCAAATTTCATGATGATTGGTTAAACCATTTGCTTATTTGTTATCTCTTTTTACAGACAAACAAAGAAACAAAATAACCTTTAAACCTACTTCAAAAAGAAGGGGGGTTCTCAATTTAATTGTATTGATATCTTTTTTATGTTTGTTACCAGAGGGAGACTATGTACAAAAGTCGTTTGCTTGGGTACCTCTGTCCCATTCGTGTTTCTCCCATAAAGCAGTTGTATTTGCATGGCTGTGTTTCGGTTTGAAGGGTGGGATATGGCATGAATTTACAGGATATAGAGGAATAACACCCGAGTCCTCAGGAATGGCAACGCATGGGGGGTATCATGGGCGACGGTTACCACTTTCCATCAAGTGGGCCGTCAGCTTGTTTGCCATTCTAAGTTGTATAAAAAACACCATCAGATATTGAACGATTTGGAAAGAGTTCTAGAGGAAAGATTCTAGTGGTGTGGTAATCTGTAACACAGGTTTAGACACCAGTTGTTCACAATACATTAACTTATGTAAACTTCGAAAATAAATATATTAGAATATAATAGATGTACAACTGGTAATGTGAAGAGAATAATCTTTATTATTATACTATTAATTACTTAAAAATTACTAACAATTACATACATACCTGTCACGCGTGTCTCCCATTAGGGTAGGCAGAAACAATGGAACGCCTAATGCTTCGATTCAAACAGACCAACAACAATAACAATAACTAACAATTATGTTAAAAAATTATTACCCATAAAAATTATATATTTTTTTATAGGTGAAAATGGATCAGTAACCCCACCTGCGGTGGGGAGAAAGGGATTGTTAGCAATGGAGTTTGACAGCCCCATAGCTAGCAATATGCCTTATTAGGTCGACCTCCACGTGGTTCCCCCTAGAAACCATCGTGGCAAATTATTGTTAAATTCTTTACAATGGGCTAACTGACCTACTTCATTCTCACCTATCATCCTTCACTGGTGCCCCGCCAGTGTATACCGATAACGAGGGTGTGGTTACCATTTTTTTTTTTTTTTTTTTTTTGATGGGTGAAAATGGTATGGTAACCCCGCCTGCGCTAACGGGATACACTGGCGGAGCACCAGTGAAGGGTGATAGATGAGAATGAAAACAGGTCAGTTAGCCCATCATGATGAATTCATCAGGAATTAACCATGATAGTTTCCAGGGAGGACCGCGAGGAGGTCGACCTGGTTGGGTATATTGCTAGCAATAGGATTCTCAGTCTCCATTACTAACAATCCCTTTCCCCCCTGGTGTGGTTACCATTACATTACCATCCATTAAAAAAAAAACACCAACTGCAGTGCACCAGTGAGGGATGATAGGTGAGGATAAAGAAGGTCAGTTAGCCAATCATATCAAATTCAACAAAAACACACAAACAAATCCGCAGGAAACAGCCAGTCATAGTAATATTATAAATGTGAAAATTTGTAAACATGTTTGTACATTTATTATTTAATCACATGTCTACGGCTGAACAGATTTGAATACAATTTGATACATGGGTTAGTTATATCTGAATATAATACAGGCAAAGCAATGGGCAATAATCAGTATCACAATAATCACAATCTTATTTTTTTTTTATACTTCAAACAATTATCTTTTTTATTTTTATATATATTTAGGAATATAGCAAAATGGCAACCCATGCCAGTTGTCATAAACAGTACCATGGACATAACAGAATATAGAGACATCCATAATACTCACATGTTGTCATTAAAATAAAATAATAAAATACAATTAAAACAATCAATTAAATTAATACAGCAACAACAAGTACATATTGGCCTGAGAAAAAATAAAAAATATTTCAACCATGACTAAACACATGTATGAATAATAAGATGTTTCATAGACACATTAGTTTGAACAAATTTGAATTTAGAATGTTGAATTGTTTATGAATAGACATGTATTGTTCTAAAAAGATATATGATACTTTCAAACACAAAATTGATATGATATCATCACAATTGTACATCCTATTGATGATGAAAAAAAATTAATTTAAAATGAAAACATATTTCAAAACATAGCCACAAAAAAGTCCTCCATAAAAGTCTTAAAAATGAAAATAAATGAAAGAAAGTTATGCAATAAAAAAGGTAATTAATTGGAATAAGAAAATTGTACTTCATTAACAAATTTATTTATATAAACTTTTATTGAATAAATTTTATTAAAAAAAATATTATATTTTTTAATTAATTTTTATAATGAAAATAAAATACTTAATTGTAATTTATATAGTTTAAAATCTAAAGTGTATTGAACACAACATTAACCCAGACCTATCACAAGCATTATGATCTTTGACCTTAGCCCACTCCTCTGAAGAGAAAAAAGCAGTGTCTTTTATTTAATTTTATTTTTTCTTTTTACTACAATATCTTGAATGACATTCACAAGCATGTATTTATGATACCTTTTATAGCAAATACAGCAGTCCTACTGTATTGTCTTAGCCTTATCACATTAATGTATGTACCTGTTATCAGCAAATGTGACTTCTGTGATATTGATCATAAAATTACCTGATAACTATAGCAAAGTAAACAGACCAAAGATATTATCATTTATATAATGTAGGGGCCATTTTCGCAAATTAAAGACAACGGACGTAATTCCATTGAGCCACCAGATCTCACGAACATTATTTGAATACAATCGATGCTGAATGTGACACAAGGTCGCTTATATTGCCTAAGACGACTCCAATTAGGTAAAAGGTCGGAAATATAACAGATACAACGTTATGGTGAGCCCACAATGATATCAGCACCAATTTATAATAATTTAATGAGTCACTCGTCCGGCTGAATGATATGATGTGCCGGGCTCACGAGAGTACGTGAATTTAAAAAGCTTATTAGATTCAAATTGAGAATTGTAGACCGACAAAGAAAAAATTTTGTTTACTCTGTAAATTAATTGTACTAAAAAAATTCAAATGAAACGGCAGTAATTTCAGAAAGAATGCTAGAGAAAATTACCTTGTCCAAACATTTCAGTTCCTCCGTGGGATAAACTGTTTTCTCACACCTTGCGCAAGTTTTATTCATGTTGAACGTTACAAACACACAAACACTGTTATTAAATATAAGCACTGGTATTTCACAGAGAAACACAAGTTTCCACGATTCACAAACAAAGTTTAGAATTCACTTTTTATTGAAAACACTCACGAGCACAATATTCGTAGCTTCTTCGAACGCGCATGCCAAAAAAATGACAAATGGCGGCGATAGTTTGGGGTTACAATAATTAAAAATTAAAACCTACCATTTGAGTAAACTTCTACTATTTTGATATTTTAAATATCATCATTATGGTCATGTCAGCAGTTGTCTACTGCTGAACATAGGCAGAATATAAAGGACTGAATAGTCTGAATATAAAGGAGGGTTTTATGGGTAGTTACCATACTTGGTAGACGGGTTGGCAACAGTAGATAAGCTTTGGTGAAATGAGGCCGTTGCCCTTTCCTAGTCCATCATATTTTACATATAATTGATGAAATTTAATAAGGCTGTAAAACATTTAGTCTATAGGTATTACTTATGATATTTTTTACACTCATAGATATAATCCTATAGAGATTCCAGATAAGATTGTTATGTATGTCTTATTTTTTTAGGATTTATGCATGTTTATTTGTAATAAATTTATATTGCGTTTGATTGTCAAGAAATGTACTTACATGACCTACGAAAAATAAAGTAACAAAATGCAATAACAAATGAAAAGGATTCTAGAGTTTATTATTGTTATGCATCTTTGCATCCTATATTCATATAGGCATATAGTTGCAGCAAAATTTTAAAATGTTGTGAAATAAATGAGGAACTATTGGTGAATTATTAATAAACAATATTTTAAGGAACTTTTAATGAAATAAACAGAAACAAAATATTTTTTAAATAAATTTAAGAACAAAGACACTTCTCTCTTTGTAAAACCGCCAAAGCTTCATTAAACAACTGTTTTGATGTTTGTATCATGTCGGTCAAATGATTATAATCATCACGTTTTTCTTCTTCAATCATTTTTAATTTATCTTCCATAATTTTCAGTTTTTCTTCCGATAATTCTAACTTATATTTCAGATCTTCTTTATCGAGTGAATCATATCCTTCAGATTGCTGAGACTCAGAGGAACTCTCGCTAGGTTTTTCAATTACAGCAGTTACCGAAGATTGCTTCTTCGAAATAGAAGTTGATCCCAATCCTAATTCATAAACTTGTTCCTTATGTAAAGAAGTCTTTGAAAATTTCGATCCTCTTTTTAAATCTTTTAAACTTTTTATTTCATCTTCAAGGCAGCTTACTCTTCTCTCAAGTCTTCGTTTTCTTACCTTTAATTTACGATGGGTAACTTCGAGCTCTTCAAATTTACGTCGCTCGGTATCTAATCTACCGTTAAGACTTATTACCAACTCGGAAAGCTTTTTAATCTCATTATCCGTAGCTGTTTTCATAGGTGTGAAAAACACACTCTGCAAAGAACACTCCTCATATCTTAAAAGTTGAGCTCTTAGCTCTTCTATTTTGACAGCTTTATCTGAAGCTTGTTTTCTGAGAGCGTCTATTTTAGCATCTGTATTTTTTATCAGTTTCTGGTATTCTTCAACTTCGCAATTCATTTTGTTCATCTTAACTGTATTTTCCTTTAAAATTTCTTGATAATATAGCTCTAAACTCTTGATCTGATTCTGAAAAAGTATTAATTACTTATATTATTTCACTTAATATTTGTTTCAAATGCTAATTATTGTCAACTAACCCTTTGTTCATTAATTAGTAAGTCATCATGATTACTCTTCTCCACAAAGGTTTGTATCTTTTGTCTAATGGCAGTAGCGTCACATTCCAAATTCCTGATTCTACATCGTGCTCCGTCGAGCTTTTTCTTTAACTCTTGATTTTCTCCTTTTAAACATTCTAAGTCTTTCATAGCTAATTCTATTTCTTTTTTCCTTTTCGCTTCTATTTCTTTTATTATCTGAAACATTTCATTACAGCTTATTAAACCTAAAAAAGTCTCGTATTCTGGATAAAAATGTATAAATAAAAATTTTGATCAATATAAAGTACTCGTATACTACTTTATAAAACCTACTTGTGTTTGATCTTTTCTCTTTGCTTCAATAAGATCCCTGTGTTTTCCATTTAATTTTTGTTCTAATTCGCTGATTCGTGCTTGTAACAGAACTATTTGCTGAGCTCTTCCTTTCCAACCTGCCAAATCATTTTGAAGCTCTTTGATACTTGTAAATTTATCTCCCAATTCTTGTTGAAGTATTTTAGTAGCGATCAGTATGCCATTCTTCAATTCTAAATTTCTATTTTTGCTTTCATACAATTTCTTATTAACAGCAACAAGTTTGTTATTGAGTTCTTTGAGTTCATCTGGACTGGCGTCTATTGGTTCGTTTTTACACATACAGATATCTAATTTCTCATGCTCTTTATTTATTAAATCGAGTTGTAGTATTTTCCTTTCTAAAGCCGCGATTTTAGTTTTGTATCCTTCAACCTCAGCTACTAAGTGTCGATTCTGTTTGCACAGTTCCGTAATTTTTGCACTGATAATGCCAGCAGATTTAGAGGAAATCACTGGTCCAGTACCAGATATTATATCACGGATGCGCTGATTGAGATTGTTGATCGTTTTATTAAGTTCTTTTATCTCTTGATCTTTAGTAAAAATACATTTACGTAATTCATTATTTTCGCATGTCATTATCTAAAATGTTAATTATTCAAACTATTAAAAAAAATCGTATAAAAGTTATCCCGGGCAAAAATACTCTTTTATACCGATATAACACAGTCGGAATAATCTAATACATACTTTAAATTAGAAGAAAGAATACTAGTGTATTTATTTTGTGTTGTGTGTATTGTATTGTGAATTTTACAGAAAGTAGCAAAAAAATAATGGACACCTATCTATAGATTGTTTAAATTGAGAATAGTTCCCGATCAAGTTGTACCACTGGGCAAAATATTTGTTGCTCTTTATGACGTAGCGAATTTACTTTAACATTATGACAAAGTGGCCGACTGGCATTTCAAATCCATTAAGAAAATACATGCCTTAATTTTGAGGCAATTATCATATCAAATACAATTTAAATGTTATCATTATAATAAATTTATTCGCATTAAATAGTGTGGGCAGTAGTGGTCTTAAGCTAAACAAAAGTTTTTTAAGCCTATTTATCTATTTACAGAATTGCACGCAAATGTCACTATATTTATACATTGTGACAGTATAACGTACTCACGTTATATTTGCTATATTATATTAGGATATTTTATTATATCTATTGTTTAGGGGTTAGTATTATTCATTGAGAATTATAACTATACCTTTAACTGTTCGATGAGATGAGCATTTAATTCTGGTGGATATAAAACATCATCAGGATCTGGATTATCAAGCGCTGCTAACATCTTTAGCTTCATCTCATCAGTTTCATCAATTTTATTAGCTAAATCTGTTAGTTTCTCATCTTTTAAATTAGGCTTTGATCGAACTTTAGTTGACGACGTCATGTTTTTCTTTTCCATTTTAACAATAATTAAAAATATGCTAAATTAATTTGACAAACCAAGGATACCTACATGACACTGAGTGAAAAAAATACACCCCATTCTAATTTTAAATTTGCAAGCCAATCCAAATCTATTAAACTCTCTATTCCTATTTTTACTGTATGAAACAAATAAATAGTGTAATATTATATTTTTTTTAATTTAATATCTGTTCACATAAAGCATAAGCATATTTTTTATTTCAAAACGAATTCTGTTACTGTCGTATATATTATACAAACCATTTGTTCATTACTTTCTTTTTTCTTTATTCTTTATTGTACACAGAAGGTTACTAAAATAGAAAAAACAAACATAAAAGCACTCAAAGGCGAGCTTATCTCCAAAAGTGATTTTTAATTTTTATATATTTTATATTCATAGATTAACAAGAATTGTAACGTTTTAAGATTTATGAAAGCAACCAGTACTATTGATGGCAACAGTGTGGCCAATATAACTATATTGATTAGGTGTCGGTGTCATTGCTGTCACTTTGGTGACAGCTGATTAATGCGAAATAATTTTATTCATTTTATTATTTATGTTTAATTTTTAATTACATTAAATTATTTTACATCTTTGTCTCCTTGTAGACCCCGATGGACTCACAATAGTTGATAGTGATTGTGGTTTAATCTCTTGTCTTCGCGGACACCAGGTACTTACCAAATTTTGTCCTTCTATGTTCTAATTAGATTTTTATCCTTCTGCAAACAAACCAATTTTACGCTTTATACGGCTATTGTTAAACCCATTACCATATCAAAAGATTTTCTTAAAAATATTATACGCAATACGCAACTTGGTCAGATCTGAATATTATCTGAAATATATATGTAATATTTAATTTATGTATGAAACGATTTTGTTTTCATCTTTTGCTCACGGTGTTGATGGATATATTAAGGATAGACTCAGTTATCGAAATCAATAGATACTTTTAAATGGTTGGTAAGGGTATGGTAAGCCCTGCGCTATCAGTAGAAGCTGGAGGGGCACCAGTGAGAGGTGATGGTAAGTGAGGATGACAGCAGCTCTGATCGTTTTCATAGGGAACTGTGTCAAGGTTGACTCGACTAACTACTACCACTTTAGTTAGGTAAAAGGTAATTTTTTTTCAAAAATCCAATTTATAGTAATAGTATGAAATATGAATATAAAAAACCTTTTTCATAAAATAAAACTTATCAAAATTGTCACTAAAACTCTCACTGTTACCTATATACAAGCATAGGGCGGAGAAGGTTTGTTAGTAATTATAATAATTGCTAATAATTGCTAGCAATATATCTTATAAGGTGGATCTCTATGTGTTTAAACACTCATAATTAATTCTTATTGAATTTGTCACAATGGGCTGAGTTCATCTACATCTATCACCAGTCATTAGTATCCCACCAGCATAAGAGGGGAAGGGATTGTTAGTAATGTGGACTGCCAGTCCCATTGCTAGCAATTTACTCTGTCAAGTCGACCTCCTCATGATCTTTCCTGGAAACTATCGTGCTGAATTCTCTGGTATATGTATATATCCTATCTATAATCATTCACTGGTGCCCCGCCAGCATATACCATAAGTGCCGACAGGGTTACTACACCATTTGTCATCTAAAAAAAACCCCCACTAGCATATACCATTAGATTACTATTCCATTATTACCCCATAAACATATATATATATATATATATATATATATATTCATCACACCTCTCGACTTGGTTCAATAATACAAATATGGTACCAGATGTCAAGGCATAGTTACTATTCCATTAAAATGATTAACTATTACATTAAAAAATCTTACTTTTTTATTTGTTTGTTTGTTTGTATATGTCACATGAATTTAGTAGGTATATAAAGCAAATGCACAGTAAATACATAGAAGGATTTAGATATTTCTTCCAGTCAATCTTGTAAATATTTATAATAAATATGACTAAGTTCTTTTTTTTTATCTTCTAGCAACAATGCCAGGCACAAACCTCATTGTGCCTGTTGTACTCTGGGGCAAGCATGCACCCACTCACTGCATCTCATCCGTCTACCTCTCTCGAGACCAGAAGACACTCGTCACTGGCTGCTATGATGGCCAGATCTGCATTTGGGGTGTCCAACCTGAGACCCTGAAAATGATACCGAAGTGCCTGCTGGTTGGCCACACAGCACCTGTCACTTGTTTGTCCAGAGCCTCTATAATACAAGTGAGTTTTGACACTAATTTTTTTTTTACACTTCCATGGCAGCAAATTGTTATTCATTTTTAATAATAATAAATTTAAATAAGGTATTAAAATAATTTATTCTTATAAGTTATATATCTAAGGCATGTCTTAAGGTACATTATATATTAGCTGGGAAAAGAAATCTTTTTATCCTTTGAAAAACCTCATGCTGTAGTTTCTTGGAAAAACTCAAACTGTAAACTCACTACTGCTAGTAAATAAAAAAAACTAATTTACATCACAAAAAAAAAATCATATAGAACATTTTTAGTTATATATTATACCATTTTTTTTTCTAATTTTGTGGGAATATTTATGCATTATATAACACGTCTATAGGCGACGGTTACCACTTTCCATCAGGTGCGCCATTTGCCATGCACATGCCATTCTAAGTCGTATAAAAAAACGCAATTTTTTACTTCCCCCCCCCCCCCCCCCCCTCATATAACGTACCGTAACATTTTTCTGTAAACCCTTATCCTCAGCCCCTCCCTAAATGTTACGTAACATCTAAGTTACAATTTTTACCTAAAAATCCTAACAGTAAGGAATATAGATAATGAAAGCAATTTTGTAATAAAGAATATGTAATTATAAATTTAATTTATTATATTAATTATATAATATTATGACATTTATATGTATGTAATCTGTAGTCAATGTTGTGTACGCCTGCTATAGGTATGTATATCAGCGTGCTACACAAAAAATGTTGTTTATGTACATATAATGTGTATACTGTTGGTGTGCCTAATTCGAATTTAAATAAATAAAGCAAAAGAAAAATAAAATTGTCTTTGGACATTTCAATTCCCTTGTTTTTTTTTATTTTTATTTAAGAAAGCATGAATGAAGGAATGAATGAGTATACTTTATTTGCATTATACAATATAGGAAATAAGCAAGACAATTTACAAACACAACGATACGCTTACAAACGCAACAACAAACTAAAGCAATGTTACAGAACGCGAAGTTTCAAATCCCCTCCCGTTCCTGTATTGCATTGTAACATTTTACAAAATGTTAATTTTTAGCTACCGTGTGAAGCCCTGGCGGAACACTATTTATTTATAAATACATATATAAAAGCCTGACCAGATCACTACTTAATTATACATATATAATTTATTTGCATTACTTACAGCACACAAATAACAACAGACATAGATAGTCACAAACAAAAAATGAGTTAAAATAATACATATACAGAAAAAAAAAATACATAAAAGAAGAAACAAAAATTTTTATAATGATTATAAATTTTTTTCCAGGACAACAATTACATAGTAAGTTCATCGGAGGCGGGGGAGATGTGCACATGGGACTTGGTCGACGGGAAATGCAGGGAGAGCGTGAAACTAACGCAAATACATACAAACATACAGGTTTATCACAGTTTTCAATATAAATTATATTTGTTTAACAATAATAATAATGGTAATATATCCAGCGGTATTTACCACTGGACGTTAGACAGCGCAACTTTTTTATTGTATAAACTTATAATAAGGGTGGAACCTGTCCCAGGTTGGGCAAAACGAAAACAGCTGATTCAAATGAATGCTCTAAATCAGATGGCAGATTATTTACCCACCGAAAATGCACCACAGCCAATCCTTAATTATAACGATTCTTAGTTTAGACGCCGCGCAATGTATCTGAAATTTTAAGATCCACACGACGCGAGATACCTATAACGCGCGGTCAACACGCTTCTTCGTAGATAGTTTTCAGTTCAGAATAATGGTCTGAACTAAAAACTATCTAAATGGACATAACAGAGTATACTGTATTGCCCATGACACCCCCCATGCGTTGCCATTCCTAAGGACTCAGGTGTTATTCCTCTGTACCTTGTAAATTCACGCCATATCCTACCCTTCAAACCGAAACACAGCCATGCAAACACGACTGCTTTACGGTAGAAACACGAATGGGACAGAGCTACCCAAGCAATCGACTTCTGTACAAAGTCTCCCTCTGGTATTACTGTTTGTTAACGTAAATAAAAAAAAAAAAAATATATGTGTTACCTACAGGCATATCACATGTGCAACAGCGAGGACTTGCGGCTATTCTGCAATGGTTATTATGCAGAGATACTGATCATGGATCCATTCTCGCTGGAGATTCTCTTCTCGCTGAGTTCAAAGATGAACCCTGACTGGATATCAGCATTGCATGTAAGTTGTTTACACTTTTTTTTAAGCATTTTTTTTAAATGAAATTATATGAAATTTATTTGACGACCATTATGTATTGTCATATAAAATTGTTTTTTAAATGGATGATAATGGAATGGTACCCTCGCCTGTGCTGACGGTATACACTGGCGGGGCACCAGTGAGGGATGATAGGTGAGGATGAAAAGGCACTTGGAATAGAACACGATTTTTTTTTATACAACTTACAATGGCAAACAAGCTGATGGCCCACCTGATGGAAAGTGGTAACCGTAGATATGAGCAGTACCGTGGACATAACAGAGTATATTGTTTCGCCCGTGATAGCTCCCCATGCATTGCCATTCCTGAGGATTCGGGTGTTATTCCTCCCAGTACCAGTGTTTAGTATACCCAGTAAATTCACGCCATATCCCACCCTTCAAACCGAAACACAGTCATGCAAACACAACTGCTTCACGGTAGAAACACGAATGGAGATTAGACTAATATATATATATTTTACCAGAGGGAGACTTTATACAAAAGTCGATTACTTGGGTACCTCTGTCCTATTCGTGTTTCTACCGTGAAGCAGTTGTTTGCATGACTGTGTTTCGGTATGAAGGGTGGGATATGGCGTGAATTTACAGGGTACAGAGGAATAACATCTGAGTCCTCAGGAATGGAAAAGCATGGGGTATTATGGGCGAAACAGTACACTCTGTTATATCCATGGCACCGCTCATGACTATAGGCGACGGTTACCACTTTCCATCAGGTGGGCGTCAACTTGTTTGCCATTCTAAGTTGTATAAATATATATATATATTGTAACTGCAATATATAGATATTGGCATATATTTATTACCCATCCTTATTTTATATTTGATTTTCTAATTGTTTATTTGTAGGTGCTACGCCCGTCGTCGAGGAAGGATGATGTTGTTCTAGCGATATCGATTACGGGAACAGTTAAGGTATTTTAATTTTTTTTTTAACTTTGGGCACAAACGAACTGTGTGTTACTCGACGATAAGTGATTACAGCTGTCTGTAGGCACCTGTAATCTCAGAAAAATTGTGTATTGTATGAGTACATAAGTCCACCTGTTCACATCTTTTTAAACCGATTTCAAACAGAAGGATGTTCTTAAATCATTGGTTTTTCATTAATGCCTAGTTGTGGCCAAGGCTTGTAGCCATGTTTCGAAGTAAAAGGTCATTCCATTTTTAAATTACAGGACAGATATGAGTTTACATAGTAATTTATCTGGTCGCAAAACACGACAGATATGGATTTTCATATAACTTTTGCCGGCCGCTGCCCGCATGTATCTGGCCAGTACGGCAATTTTGATTCTCGAAGAAGATTGTCAAAATAATGCTCACATTTCCAAGCATGTTTGAGAAAAAATTATAACCGCATTGAGAACCTCCTTCTTTTTGAAGTCTGTTAAAAATTTATAGAAACAAACGAACGAGACTTTATTTAACTTTTGACTTTCAGGTGTGGTCGCTCCTCGGCCATGAGAATAAGCAGTCCGAGCCGATATACGAGAATGAGTCCAAGCAGATCCGCTGCCTGAACGCGCTGTCGCTCAACTGCTGCGCTTACAATCAGCGCACCGTGCTCATTGTATGCGCTAAGTACTGTCAGATTTATGATGCTGGTGAGTGGATGACAGCTAAGATTGTGGCATTTTCTCTCTTCTTTCTCTCTTCCTCTCGCAATTTTCTCCTTTTTCTTTCCAATCCTTTTATCTTTTCCCTTTTTCTATTTTCTCTTCTTTTTCTGTTTCTAGTCCTTTCTCCTTTTTCCCCTTTTTGTTAGAAAGACAGAGGTAATTTTTTTAATACCCCTAAATATACAGTACAAGTGTTTTTTTAAAGTACCCATAAGAACCTTAATATGCCCAGGAAAAGCGCCCTCTGCCGTTAAGATTATTTCGCATCAGACCGATTCTTACTGTCTCTTCATCCAGGTGATTTCTCCGTGCTATGCTCGATCCAAGCACCGCGTGGGGAGCGCTGGATGTCTGGTGACTTCCTCGCGCCTGACCGAGTCTTGGTCTGGTCTACCGAAGGGAAGGGATACCTGTATCGTTTGCCAGCTAAGTGAGTACAGTTGAGGGTAGACCGGGGTAAAATATATTTGGTGGAATGTGTCGCTGTTGAACTATGGTTTGTACTTTTATTTTAATGATGTAGTATTAGTATACAATGGTGGAGTACAACCGAGGAGTAATAGGTGAGGATGGAGTCAGACCAGTTGACCCAATGTGAATAATTCACTTAGAATTAAACACACATCGCCGTGTGATCCCAGCATAGATGGCACCGACCCTTCCTTTCCCATGTGTGTTTTAAGAGGCGACCAAGGGAGGGCGAGGGATGGGCAGCAGCGTCCCTCTTAAAACATCACCAAAGCTTAACTGCGGTTGCTAATTCGCCTGCCAAGCTTGGCAACTACTAGCAAAATCCCAAGAGGGACGCTTATGTTCAGCAGTGGACAGTTAAAGGCATATATAATGATGATTGGCTTGATGATTACACACTTAAAAACTTAAAAAAAGTACTCCATCCAAACCATGGTTCAATATGAAAAATTATTTCCATGTAAAATATGTTTTTTTTTTTTCTAATTTATGCATCTGGTTGTGGGAATAATTTATCATCATTAGAAATTCATTCGAGCACCGCATATATCGTCATAGTCGTAGAATACTGACGGATCTGACAAATATTACATATAAAGATCCGTCAGTATTCTACGACTGTGACGATATGTTCTAGAATGTTTAATTACGGTAGTATTTAAATTTTTTATCAACATTACGCCCGATTAGGAAAGTGAAAATTTCCTTTCCTTTCCAATTTTAATGAGCTCTGTTGACTGTCAAGCGGCTTGATCTAGCACTCATAATTAGCTGCTTGTGAGAAAAAGATGAGATAATTACGTTTCTGTCTTACAAGCATTAAAATTTACGTACTTGATTCAAACCGCTTGACCGTCTACAGACCCATTAACGCTTACAGTTATGTCGTCATTTTTATGTTGTAAACTGGGTTTTTTGATGATTTTGATTTTCCTGATCGGTTTGTACTATTCTTGACGCCAGAGGACGCCATAATAACACGGGTAGTAGCTACAGTACTGCTGCAGATGTCGACCTCTGGCGTCAACAGTTTTAAGGCCTTTAAGGTTTTAAATACATGAAAGCTTCTCATGCGGCTTACCGGGTTGCGGCTTCACAAGCCCTTCGAAGCACGAAGCAAATCATTTTAATTGATCTATATACATGGATTTGAGAAATTTAGAGATTTATGGTTTAGATCTAGGAATGAGGGATCGATAAAAGTTTGCGGTGACGGAATGAGTGTGTGGGGGGGGGGGAGGGGGTTTATAATTTGAAATTCAAGGACATTTCAAAGTCCATAAAAAGTCATTCATGGTGATTGGAATTATTAAAATCTAATAGTTCATTCGTACAGATAGACAGTTTTTTTTTATATTAGAAAAGCGATAGTAAATATTTAGTTTCATATAAAAAAAACTTCGAAGGTAAACAAATCGAAGAGAAGTGTAAGAATATTTTTTAAGTGGGGTAAATCTCTGAATATAATAAACAGATAGATAGATACTCTTTATTGTTTCCTCCATAAGATTACAATAGTAAACTTATTATAAATATAAACAATTACAAGAAATAATCGCAGTGAGAAAACAATGGGCGGCCTTGTCGCTAAGAGCGATCTCTTCCAGGCAATCAACAAGTTTAACTCAACAGTTCAATTTTGTTAAATATAAAAGTATTAACAGAATTGTTGTTATTTACAATATAATTAGACATTTAATTATAAGAATTAATTAAAATAATTTAAATTAAAGCTTTTTGTTTAAACAATTATAGTTTTTATATAAGCATGTGCTTGTATAAATAATATCAAAATTTGTTAATTAATTATAAACTTTATATATATATAAATTTTAAGTATAAAATTTATAATTTCTGTTATAGCAAACTTCGCGGACGGGCTCTCAGTAGGTCAGCACCAATTTCTTTGTATAATTGAATTATTTGATTTTTTTTTTATTTATTTGTAACCCGTACCTTATTTTGCTTGCACTATCTAGATATGCTTAGTTTATTTTAGTACATTTATAAAATATAAACTATTATAGTAATTATATTTAACTATTTTAAAGTTGTATAAATATAAAAATATTACTACAAAAGTAGCTATGATGAATATTGATATAATTGATATAATGCTTGTCTAGTAACAAAATTAACGTAATTTTTAGCTTTATACTTAAACAGTTTTTATATTTATTTTATTTATAATATATAAATATGAGAAGAATATTTTCAATCAAGATGGTATTTCTTATATATAAATATGCCATAAAAATGTTCGACATTTAAAAAATTATGCTTTAAACAAATATTCGATTATACTTTGAAAATGTTTTTATTATTTTTTACTTCTACTTTGATATTTACAAATATAAAAAAAAATACATTTTGAATCAAAATGGCGTTTGTTTAACGCCTTGTGTGCCTTATAATAAGTTCGTAATTAAAAAAAATGTAAGTCTACGTTCAGTTTTTATTATTTACTAGCTTTTACTTATGACTTCGTCTGCGTGACCGAGATATATTTACTGACCGGGATAAAATGTATTTTTTTATACAACTTAGAATGGCAAACAAGCTGACGGTCCATCTGATGGAAAGCGGTAACCGTCGCCTATAGACATGTCACCTATAATCCCTCACTGGTGCCTCGCCAGTGTATACGGATAGTGCAGGCGGGGTTACCATTCCATTATCATCGATTAAAAAAAATAAATAAAAAAAAACCAATCACTATGAAATTAACACACGTATTATATTTAATTAAGAAGGTTACTTTTTATTGTTTGTTTGTTTGTTTGTTTGTATAAGGTAGGCTACTTTTTATTCCGGTCAGTGGACAACCTCATTCACACAGACGAAGTCGCTGGTAAAAGATAGTATTCTTTTTAAATAAGATCGATTTATTCAATATATAATAGTAAGACAAATTTATACGCCGGGAACGGTATGACATGTTTGGGATATTTATTATAATTTAAAATAATTTTGTACCATTGTTCAGAGAAATAAATGAATTAATCTTTTTTTATCGTAAGTGGAGACTTAGTATAAAAAATATAATAATATTATTATACTATTAATTATTATAATAATTAGTTTTATACAAAACTTGTACGTAATTAATGTTGCATTACAGTAATTATATAAAGTATAATAGTTAAAACGAATGTATAATTTTTATTATTATATTATTAATTGCTCAAATATAATTAAAGATAGCATCCCACAAAAGAAACTGACTTCGATTGCAAGAAAATCAGTTATTTTGTTCCAAAAACTGAACTACTAAAGCGATTTTGTATAAATTTCTATGGGACCATCCATATCTGTAAGTGTATCGTTTGAGATAAAGAAAAAAAAACAATTTTCCAAATCGGTTTACAACTGACGGAGTTATGAGGTGACAAACATAAAAAAAAAAATACAACCGAATTGAAAACTTTATGAAGTCATTTGAAAATTAATTATTAAATTGATTTAAAAATAATGATATTTTATGTGCAAACTATATGTATATATATATTTTTGTGTTTAATTTTTATTGCTTTCCGCACATTCATATTGTCCCATTTAATGTTTTGTTAATAATCTTTTCCATGTGGTTTTAAAAATTTTATTTTAAGAACTGAAATTAGGGTGTGTTCACATTTGACATAAAATTTTGGTACCTCTTTGTCAGTTAACATTTGAGAAGTTAAATGAAATATTATATCGTGGTAAATGTCTTAAAATTTCACTTACTCACTCACTGTTTTTTTTTATGCAATTTAGAATGGCAAACAAGCTGACGGCCCACCTGATGGAAAGTGGTAACCGTCGCCTATAGACATGAGCAGTACCATGGACATAACAGAGTATACTGTTTTGCCCATGATACCCCCCCATGCGTTACCATTCCTGAGGACTCAGATGTTATTTCTCTATACCCAGTAAATTAACGCCATATCCCACCCTTCAAACCGAAACACAGCCATGCAAACACAACTGCTTCATGGTTGAAACACGAATGGAACAGAGGTACCCAAGCAATCGACTTTTGTACATGTGTTTGAATTAAAATGTGAACACACCCTAATTTCCAGCGGTACGTCGAAATATTATGCAAGGTGGAACGGCGAGATAATCATCCGAAACCCAACGATAGTTAACTTCTGCGTGGCAAATGGTAACTTTGTTCTCAGACCAAGTCGAACCGATTATTATGAGTCTCTTTTATTCAAAAGGTCCTTCTACGGTGATCTTCTATTGGTGGAAGTAATTTAATAAAAGTTAAAATCTGTTCAGTCTATTAGAAACTAGCTATATCCCGCGTCTATTCTTGCTTAATTCAGTATATAAATAATCCTACGTGTTAAGTTAAAATATAATCTATCCGTTTACCAAATTTTATTCGAATCAGTTACGCCGTTTGTGCCTGATTAAGTGACAAATGTCCATCTTTACAAATTTTCACTTTTATAATATTAGTAGAAATAGTCGGATTTTAATTTTGAAATTTTTTTTTTCGAAAACATTTCATTTGGAAAAACATTGGTCAGCTTTGGAGTGATCGAAACAAAAATTCTCTTTGGAAAAAAGTTGTTCAGATTTAGAATAATAGGAAAAGAATTTCACTTTAGAAAAATATTGTTCAGTTATGCAATAATAGGAAAATATTTTTTCTTTGGAGAAAAGTAATTCCGTTTTGGAATAATAGGAAAAGAATATCCCTTTGGAAAAAAGTTGTTCAATTTTGGAATAATAAAAACAGAATTTCTCTTTGGAAATTGCAGTACCCCCAAGGGGTGTCTTATATATTATATATTTACATATTATACTATAACTAATATACACCATATGGCATTAAAATAAATATAAATAAATAAATACATAAAATTTTCAATATTGCATCGTTGGGTTTTGGGTTCGTTAAATTCTCATCGTACCACATGTATTATGTATTATATATTCTGAGTGTGACGGATTGTCTTTTGCAGCTCGGTCCCGGATCACAAGGGATTCCACGGTCCCACAGTGGACCACGACAGTCCAGTATTATTTGGTATACTGGCACATCCGGATAATAAGGTAAGTCAAGTATCAATTTTGTTATTGACAGTCAATCGGACGTCAAGAAGTAGATTTTGATCTAAACAAATATCATCATCGTCATCATCATATCAGCTTTTAACTGTCCACTGCTGGACGTAAGCCTCCCCTTAGTGGAGTTTTGCCAGTAGTCGTCACGCTTGGCGGATTGGCAACTGCAGCCAGCCTTTGGGGATGTTTTAAGAAGAACGCTGCTGCCCATCCCTCGCCTTCCCTTAGTCGCCTCTTACGACATCCACGGGAAAGGAAGGGGTGGCCTATCCTATGCCGGGATCACAAGACAGCTAAACAAATATATTAACATATATTGCGAACTACCTATTGCACGCGAATTCGTCCGCGTTTTCGTCGTTTTTCGTAAAATAAGTAGCTTATGGCCTTCCTCACAGTTCAGTGGTTTTGATGTAACAGACACATGGGAAATGTGCTCTGCTCCTATTTATCGTAGCATGATGAAAAGTATACTATAACCTGCCTATGAGTATGAAGAATAATTGTACCATGTTTCGTTAAAATCCGTCGAGTAGTTTTTGTTTCTATAACGAACATACAGACAGACAGACAAAAATTTTACTGATTGCATTTTTGGCATCAGTATAGATCGCTAATCACCCCCTGATAGTTATTTTGGAAATATATTTCATGTACAGAATTGAGCTCTCTACAGATTTATTATAAGTATAGATAGAAGATAGATTGATTCTTGTGAGGGAGTTACAAGTGTTATTTTTATTTCAGTTACTCTCGTGCCCACCAGCGATGCGTCTAATCCTCACCTCAGTGGGGGGCAAGCAACGTAGATTGTTGCTACGTGGTGACTCAGCCGGCGTCGTCTCCATATGGAATGTGGATGATGCTGCTTTACCGACTCTACCGAACATGCCTTGTAAGCGGATTTGGAAAATATTATTAAAAGAAATATTTTATTAAAGTAAATTTAGATTTAAGCATTTTTAAATATTTATTTTTTATCGTTATTATTAGTTTAGAAGTAATATTAATAAATTAAACCTCCGTTCGCCGTGTGTGCCCCAGCATAGAATAGGCCACCATTTCCTTTCCCGTGGATTTCGTAAGAGGTGACTAAGGGAGAGCGAGTGATGGGCAGCAGCGTCCCTCTTGAAATATCTCTAAAATCCTAACTGCCGTTGCCAGTTCGCCTGCCAAGCGTGGCAACTACTGGCAGAACTCCCCTAGTGGGGAAGGCTTTGTCCAGCAGTGGACAATTAACTGCTGAAATGATGATGTTGATTATGATTATTGTCATAAAAATACAGTCGAATCGAGAGCTTCCATCTTTAGGAAGTCGCTTAAAAATATTTTTTTTATACCACTGAGGTGGTAAACAAGCATACGGCCCACCTGATGGTAAGCGGTTACCGTAGCTTATGAAAGCATGCAATACCAGAGGTATTACGTGCGCGTTGCCGATCCTGAAGAAACCTCTTTACCCCCCTTTTGAAGAAACCCATGCTGTAGTCTCTTGGAAAAATCTCGGCAGGGAGCTCATTCCATAACCTGAGTGTTCGTGGGAAAAAAACATCTCTAAAACCGCGTTGTACGCGACCATTTAGGCTGTAGGGTATGAGGGTGAACTCCCTGTTGATGGCGAGCCGTACGATGATAGAAAGTGACCGCAGGCATCATATTGAATAATTCCTCTAAGCACAATCCGTTGTACAAGCGGTAGAACATGCAGAGTGAGGCAAAATCTCTCCTAAGACTTAAGGGTTCGATACCGCTATTAAATATATTTGATTTCAGCGCATGCGCCTGTTGTGATGACGAGTTTGGACATGGCGTGGGCGGAAATGAACCCCAGTCCTGTCGGTATATTGGACCAACTGCACCACCCGGACGAGCCAGGTACATTATTGGATGCTCTTTTTTTGAATTGGGAGTTTTGGTCTTATTAACTGCCATGATGTCAACATTTTTATACATTTACCGCCATCTAGCGGCGATACAATCAATGACGCTAGATGGCGTTATAAGGTTTTTTTTTCAATAAATGATAACCCCGCTTGTGCGAGTATTACCAGTGAAGGGTAGTAATGCCGATAGGCTCTCTATCTATTGCTTGAATTTTAATATGCTCAATAAAATGTGAGTATGCCGAGTACTAATTTCAACACAACGGTAACAGTCGACAAATGTCTCTGTCTAACCCATTAGCGATTATAGTCGTGAGTGTATTTGTTTTATCTTTACAGAAATCAAACTGACCGCCTCTATATATCTTCTGGCCGCTAACCGACTGGTTGTCGGCCGCGAGGATGGCTCTATAGTAATTGTTAATGCAACTCATACAGTGCAGTTGCAATTGTTGCATGGCAGCCACCAGCAGTTGGATGGTATGTAAATATTTATACCCTTCTAGCTTTTGGTACACGTGATTCACAGAAGTAACAGAACTAATGAAATATACCACTAGATGGCGTAACGAGATAAAATCTACACCAGTTTTTAAGTTAGACCATCAGGAATGCATCTGTGAATGCTGCATACAATTCGGTGCAGTAGTTTTTACGTGATGCCGGAACAAACATACAGACAGACAAAATCTCTTAAAACAATCTTTTTTCGGTATTAATTGGCCTTATTAAGACCGTTTATGTAATTAGGGTTCAGTACCTCCAAAGGGTAAAGCGGGACCCTTATAGAATCACTTCGTTGTCCATCCGTCCGTCTGTCAAGACGCTTTTTCTTAGGAACGCGTGAAGGTATCACGTTGAAATTAATATCATATACACAGGTCTGCAATCTCTTAAAGCAGTGAAAAAATCAAGCTTCTAAATCGACGCAATCAATTGATCTGTTGACGATTTATTTATCCACTTTGATTAAAATACCAGAGGGAGACTTTGTACAAAAGTCGATTGCTTGGGTACCTCTGTCCCATTCGTGTTTCTACCGTGAAGCAGTTGTGTTTGCATGGCTGTGTTTCGGTTTGAACGGTGGGATATGGCGTGAATTTACTGGGTACAGAGGAATAACACCTGAGTCCTCAGGAATGGCAACACATGGGGGGTATCATGGGCGAAACAGTATACTCTGTTATGTCCATGGTACTGCTCATGTCTATAGGCGACGGTTGCCACTTTCCATCAGGTGGACCGTCAGCTTGTTTGCCATTCTAAGTTGTATAAAAAAAAATCTAAATATTTTTTTAAATATTTCCAGTAACGTTTAACAAGATCTCATTAAATAAATTTCTAACTAACAATTATATTTAATACTAGTCTTTTCGTAGCATAATACGAAAGTCACTCAGCCCAGTTGGCTGAGTTATGTCGGTTCGAGTCTTGTTAGAATAAAGGTGCATGTAAATAAATATTCTCTCTTTTCATTTTATTTATTTATTTATTTACACACATACACTAAACAAATCTTTCATTTAAATGTTATCATTAGTTAAATACAATTGCTCTTAAGAGAAATAATATAAATTATACATATTACATCTGACAAAATAACATAATAATGAAGTTTACACAATTATATAAAAACATTACTATTTTACTTTTAATTATGAATAAAAGGAAAACATATAAAAAAAACAAAATGAATGTAGCAGTGTTTGTGTAAAGGACCATTTAAGAGTTTCCTCTTGTCGGTTCAACTAAATCATGCAAATAAACATTGTTTAAATAAAAATTGTCTTTGTTTTAAGACTGGCCACTTACTGGTAGCTTAATTGAAAAGTATTTTTATTTATTACTAGCGACCCGCCTCGGCTTCGCGCGGGTACACATTACTTCACGTCACATTAGAAACCTCTAAATTTATCAGTATTCTTCTACTATATTATGCATGTATTATACATATAAACCTTCCTCTTGAATCGCTCTATCTATTAAAAAAACCGCTTCAAAATCCGTTGCGTAGTTTTAAAGATTTAAGCATACATAGTGACGGACAGACAGCGACATCTATTTTGTTTTATACTATGTAGTGATTATCATTAAGTCACTCAGCCTATTGGCTGAGTTATGTTGTTCGAGTTTTGTTGGACTAAAGGTGCTTGTAAATGAATTTGATTTGAATAATTTTTTATTGTTTCAAGACTGGCCACCCCATCAGTTGCTGCTCGGACACAACGGTAGAGTCAATTGTTTGCTGTACCCACACCACGTGCACCAGAGGTTGGTTGAGAATGAATTAATTCGTATTTTACATAATAAATACATAATAAGAGAATAGGTATTGGCGATCCGCACGAATGCTAAAGTTAAATGAGTTAAGGGGCCACCTGAAAATCACCGCTATATAGGTACATCTCGCTGGAGATATGCATATATAGCAAGCACCTGGTGCGACTCCAGCAACCAGGAAAATGTATTGTTTTTTTTCTTGTTAGTAATGCAGTACTACCAGTCCCATTGCTAGCAATATACCCTGTCAGGTCGACCTCCACGTGGTCCCCCCTGGAAACTATCGTGCTAAATTCCAGGCGAATTAATCACGATGGGCTAACTGACCTGCCCTTTCATTCTCACCTATCATTCCTCACTGGTGCCCCGCCAGCGTATGCCGTTAACGCAGGCGTGGCTACCATTTCATTATCATCTATTAAAAAAAAATACTGTGCTGTCCAGGTACGACCGGGCCCACCTGGTGTCGGGCGGCATAGACTTCGCGGTGTGCCTGTGGGACCTGTTCAGCGGCGCGCTGCTGCACCGCTTCTGCGTCCACGCCGGCGAGATCACGCAGCTCATCGTGCCGCCCTACAACTGCAGCGTGAGTTGCACTATATACCTACCTTACCAGAAGGAGACTTTGTACGAAAGTCATTTGCTTGGCCACCTCTGTCCCATTCGTGTTTCTACCGTGACGCAGTTGTTTGCATGGCTGTGTTTCGGTTTGAAGGGTGCGATATGGCAGTGAATTTACAGGGTACAGAAGAATAAGAATTGAGTCCTCAAGAATGGCAACGCATGGGAGGGTATCATGGGCGGAACAGTATACTCTGTTATGTACATGGTACTACTCATGTCTATAGGCGACGGTTACCACTTTCCATTAAGTGGGCCGTCAGATTCTAGTTGCATAAAAAAATGGCAGGCGGGTTGGCAACCACAGTCTTTTTATTTGCTGGGTGAAAATGGTATGGTAACCCCGCCTGCGCTAACGGGACACGCTGGCGGAGCACCAGTGAAGGGTGATAGATGAGAATAAAAGCAGGCCAGTTAGCCCATCTTGATGAATTCATCAGGAATTAACCATGATAGTTTCCAGGGATAACCGCCCTAGTATCTAGTCGACTTGGTTGGGGGTATATTGCTAGCAGTAGGATTCTTAGTCTCCATTACTAACAATCCCTTTCCCCCTAAGGCAACCACAGTTAGGTTTTGGTGATTGATAAATTGCTTTATGGGGGAGGCCCGTGTTCAGCAGTGGGCAATTAACGGCCGATATGATGATGATGATGATAATCACCAACATCGATCACCAGTTTTTATACGACTTCAAAACGAAGGCCTTCAATTCGTTTAATATTTGTTTTTGCCCCTACTTTACGCGTTTACTTCACCAGCCAGTTTTCATAATTATTTTTGCAGTCAACACTTTATTACAGTGTGGATTCCATTTTAATTTTTTTAACCAATTTAAACCAGTGCGAAATAATTATTTCAAAAAGTACTCCAAATGTTAAGCCAATATATGATCCATCTCTGTACCAAATTTTATCAGGGGGCACGGCAATACTTCCGCCGAGTCGAGTACAGCGGTACCATTCTTTTCTCGAAGCGATTTACATTTTTTACTTTATTTAATAAATACATTTGTTTCAGACTCGAATCCAGAAATGCGTTTGTTCCGTAGCTTCGGACCACAGTGTCACGTTACTGAGTAAGTTCTATAGGATACATTTTGTAAAGTGTGGTCAAGAACTGCAGTTTTTTTCTTACAACGCAGGGGGCAAACGAGCATGCGGCTCACCTGACTGGATGGTAAGTGACTACCGTCGCCCATGATCACCCACAACACCAGCGGCATTGCAGGTGTGCTGCCGGGAAATACTGCTGCTGGAAGTTGATTCCAAAGAATGGTTGTGCGTGGAAGGAAGTGCCTTGAAAAACGCACGGTGGAGGACCGCCACTCGTCTAGATGATTGGGATGTAACTTTAGTTTGTGGCGGGTTGTACGGTGGTGCATGACCTGATTCCTCCGGGGGAAGGGATTGTTAGTGATGCGGACCAGTTCCATTGCTAGCAAATATACCTTGTCAAGTCGACCTACACGTGACTCCGCCTGGAAACCATCGTACTAAATTCCAGGTGTATTCATCACGATGGGCTAACTGACCTGCTTTTTCATTCTCACCTATATCATCTCTCACTGGTGCCCCGCCTGTGTATACCGTTTTTTTTAATGGATGATAATAAAATGGTTGAAACCTTTGTGTTTCAAAGCTTTCGTTATTTTTGTTTTTGTTGTTTTTACACTTGAAATTTGCTTTATCAATCACTAAAAAACAGTATAGCTAAAAAATTTTTTTTAATTCCTATTTAAATAATTGTTAAATATGATATGGCCTGTTTCTTGGAGGTGAGTACTCGGAAAAGATAGTTGACAGTGACAAAAGGCCGGCAGCATACCTGCAATGCCGCTGGTGTTGCGGGTGATCATGGGCGGCGGTGGTCACTTACCATCAGGTGAGCCGCATGCACGTATGCCCCTTGTGTTCTAAAAAAAATTATGGAAGAAGACGTACTGTGCCAACCCCAAAGATTGGGAACAGGCAAGGCAATGATGATGATGACATCGTTATTTTTTTTTTAGGTCTAGCGGAGCGAAAGTGCGTGACGTTGGCCTCACGGCACCTGTTCCCCGTGGTGACCATCAAGTGGCGGCCGGCGGACGACTTCATGGTGGTGGGCTGCAGCGACGGCACCGTCTACGTCTGGCAGATGGAGACCGGCCACTTGGATAGAGTGTTGCATGGTTAGTATGTTTGGAAAAAAAGTTATTGAACTCATTAATATATATATATATATATATATATATATATATATATATATATCTTAGTATTAGGAAAGTGAAAAAAGAAAAACTTAAAAACTAAAGTGTGTTGAAAATAATAAGCTCAGTTGGATGAATAATAAAAATGTATGTATTATGTGAAGCTTAGAAGAGAATAGCAAACTGTCATAAATTATTAATGTTATATTTTCGTATTTAATATTTTGATTATAGAACATTAATAAAAACGACTATAGAGTTTTTACAACATATCCTCCCGTAATCAAAATATATATATAACAAAAATATTACTTAACAAAAATACTGGTACAAAAATAACAAGATAAAAGGTTACCCAATGCCCATATTCGTCATACATCGTAAATGCTGACCTAAAGGTTTCGTCAAAACATCCGCTGGTAGTGAATCAGTGGGCATATACCTTAATTCTATAATTTTGTCATTTACTTTTTCTCTAATAAAATGAAACTTTACGTCTATATGTTTAGTTCTATTGTGATGGACTGGATTCAACGCAAGTTTCTGGGCACTCTGACTATCAGAAAAAATGACAACATTTAGAGTTTTACCTGTTATTTCTGCCACAAAACGTTTTAAGAAACAACCTTCCTTAGCAGCTGCTGATAGCGCCATGTATTCGGATTCCGCAGAGGACAATGCGACTGTAGGCTGTTTTCTTGATTCCCAAGAAATAGGGCCTTTTGCGAGTTCGAAGTAAAATCCTGTATATGAGCGACGACTAACAGGACAGTTTGCGAAGTCAGCATCTGAGTAACCACGCAGTATAGAGGAGTCTTCAGTTTTTCTGTATGAAATACCAACATTCTTAGTTGCACTTAAATATCGAAGACATCGCTTAGCAGCATTCCAATGAGATTGATCATTATTGGAGTTAAATTGGCTTAAGTAACTCACTGCGTAAGCTATATCAGGCCTTGTATTTACTGCCAAATACATAAGACAGCCAATTAATGCCTGATAGGAACATTTAGACTCACCTGTACTAGGTTCCAGTTTCTTTTGAGCAAGGGGTGTTGAAACCGATTTACAGTTTTGCATTTCAAACCTTTTTAACAAACTTTCAATATACGTACTTTGACATATTTTAATAATATTCTCTCGGCAAGATATATTTATGCCTATGAAATAATTAATAATACCAAGATCTTTAAGTGAAAAATAATTTTCCAACTCACATTTGAAGTTGTCAAATGTTACTTCATTTTTATACATAATTAAAAGATCATCAACATATATGGCTATAACCAAGGAGTCTGTATTCGAAATATTTTAGTAAACACACAAGGTTCAGATGGTGTTTGAGTAAATCCAATAGTTGACAAAGTTTGTTTTAACTTTATATTCCAAGCTCTCGAGCTTGTTTCATATAAGGCCTTTTTCAATAAGCATACCTTATTTTCATCTTCCTTTCTCTTGACAAACCCTTCTGGCTGATCCATATAGACTTCTTCTTCCAAATCACCATATAAAAAGGCAGTGTCTACATCCATATGACGTATTTTGTATCCTTCCTGTACTGCTAGTGCTAACAGCGTTCGCAACGATGAGGAACGTATAACGGGAGAAAAAGTCTCATAATAATCTACACCTTCTATTTGTGTAAAACCTTTAGCTACTAAACGAGCTTTATATTTGACTATATTTCCTTCAGCATCTCTTTTCAATTTGTAAACCCACTTAGATGGAATACAAGATTTAAAGCTTGGTTTTTCCACCAATACCCAAGTTTTCCTCTTTAATAAAGCATCATACTCATTATTCATCGCAGTGATCCAGTCATTTTTATCATCTCTTGTAATGGCGTCACGATAAGTCAAAGGATCACCGCACAGCGGATCATCGCTTAGAGTATTATAAGAAAAATAGTTTGGAGGTTTACGTACTCTTTCAGTATCTTCTTCCAGATCTATCATCATTGGAGTTATTTGAAGAATCCGATGACGGAGATGAAGAATTAATTATATTACCTGAATGTACAGTTTCCAGTTCTCGATTGCGTACCTCTTCAGTACTAACTGAATTGTCATCTTGTTCCTCAATTGCTATATCACCACCTCCGCCAATTGAAGGAAAGATAATGAAGCTTCTTCTGAAGATGAGGTCTTTGAAAATAAGTAACTTGTATCCCAGTTTACATCGTCTGCCTTTTCAATTGTTAGTCCTGTAAATTTATCTTCAAAAAAAGTTACATCTCTTGATTTTACTAACTTTCTAGGTGTTTTCGCACTTCGGAAATAGTAACTTCTAGGATCATCTGAATATCCTATAAAAATATGTTCAGTTGCTTTCATATCTAGCTTAGTTCTTTGGCAAGAAGGAACATGAACTAAAGCTCTGCATCCGAAGACTTTAAGATGAGATAAGTTAGGTTTAGATCCGTACCATATCTCAAAAGGAGTTTTCTTATGAAGAGCACGATGTGGCGACCTATTTTTTAAATATACACTAGTCGCTACAGCATCTTGCCAATAAATTTTCGCAAGTGAACAATGAGACAACATGCAACGGGCTTTCTCCATAATGCTACGATTGCATCGTTCACTCACTCCATTTTGCTGAGGGCTATAGGGCATCGTAGTTTGATGCTTGATACCATTAGAAGCCAAATAATCAGCAAATTCATTGTTGACGTACTCAGATCCATTATCAGATCGCACTATTTTTATTTTTGAGCCAGTTTCACGTTCAACAAGAGATTGAAAAATAGAAAACTTTGATTTGACTTCTGTCTTAGAAGATATAAAATAAATAAATATAAACCTGGTAAAATCGTCTATAAAAGTAATAAAGTATTTATTACCTTGAAAAGAGGTTGTTTGAAATGGTCCACATAAATCTGTGTGAATTAATTCTAGAACTGACGTGGCTTTCTTACTTTTCAACCGTTTAAAAGGTTTTCTTGCTTGCTTACCCTCCACGCAGTGTATGCATGGTTCCTTGTCAACCTCCTTGTACTCCACTCCAACTGCTAGACCTTTTCTAAGTAGATCCATACCTATGCGACAGAGATGTCCTAATCTCTTATGCCAAATTTTAAAGTTTGAGATTTCAGAGTGCACATTATAGGCTGAAACATTTTGTGGCAAGTTAATCGAACAATCTAAATTATACATTCCACCACTAAAAGAACCGTGCAAAATAGGGTTATTAGCAAAAGATACATCACAAGATTTATAAAAGTTACAACCATTTTTATCAAAAACAACAGAAAAATCTTTTTCGACAACTTTCTTTACCGAAAGTAAATTACATTTTAAACTAGGAACATAAACAACATTACTTATTTTTGATACTACAGAGTTGGTATTTATTGATACCTCTGGCAATTTTTGTCCGTTTGCTACAGTTATGCTTCCACTATCTATAGAACGATAATTTTTTAGCCATTCACCGTGTGAAGTCATATGTCCCGATGCTCCAGAGTCGATTATCCATTTATCGGAGTTCTGGTTATTTAGGGATGACATAGCCACTTCAGACAAGCAATCTGTTGTATCTTCTACGTTTTGTTCAATTTTCGACATATTTACCTTTTTTACCTTTTTAATAGGGCAATCAGGGCTCTTATGTCCAGGTTTTCTGCATTTAAAACATATAATAGGTTTCTTCGTCTTCGCTTTTAATTGTGAAGTACGAAATGCTGCACCATCATCATTCTGAGTCACCTTTGACATTTCACTCAATAACTTCGTCTTAACCATTTCTGATGTTACTTCGAGGTTTGAATGTTCTAGAGCCATTACCAGTGGATCATAACGAGATGTTAGTCCACCTAATAAAGTCGCAGCAAGAGAGCTATCTTCGATTTTTTTGCCAATGTCTGCCAAATTCTGGGCAGTTGTCATGACTGCATTAATGTACGACTCAATATCGGTAAAATCTGATAGGGAGTACCTGTACAGCTGTCTCTCCAATGACAACTTCCGACCAAGACTTTGGTCTTCATATGCCTTTTGTAATGCATACCATGCCTCTTTCGCTGTCGTTGCTGTCCTCACATGCGTCATTGCCGCACCATCCACAGAAAGACAAATTTTTGATAATGCTTTCTGGTCATTACGTGCTTTTACATGGGAAGGTGTATCGTCAAACGATTCATAACCGTCTATTGTATTCCACAACTCTTCGTGCACCAACAGCATTCTCATTTTGAATTTCCATATAATCTTCACGTTTCATATAAATTCATCCCATTATGAATATATAAATATATATAACGAATGTTGAAAATAATAAGCTAGGTTTGATGAATAATAAAAATGTATGTATTATGTGAAGCTTAGAAGAGAATAGCAAACTGTCATAAATTATTAATTGTTATATTTTCGTATTTAATATTTTGATTATAGAACATTAATAAAAACGACTATAGAGTTTTTACAACAAAGTGACGCAGCAAAATCTGTTTGTCATCAGGCATGATAGCTGAAGAAGTGCTAGCGGCGTGCGACGAGACGGTCGCCGATGACCTCGGCGGGTCCTTGGCGGTCGGTACCACGGACCTGCAAGGGCTGGCGAACCCTGCTGTCCACTTCTTCAGGTATAATGGAGTATATCATTATATTAACAAATTTTATTTGGCTGTTTGAAGAGGATGGACGAAAGAAGAATCACAAAAGAGATTTATCGAGCTCGAATGTAGGTTTTTTTTTTAATGGATGATAATGAAATGGTAACCCCGTCTGCGTGTTATATTTTTATAGTCTTTTAATTATAGACGGTTTATTTAATTCTTGCAAATCCTTTATTAATTCACTCAGACGGCCATTATTATACAACACTATTTAATCAACTAATCAGTGTCCACCTCTAGTGATGTCCCATATACACTAGTGATGTGATCTTACAACACTGCGCTATCGGTATACACTGGTGGGGCACCAGTGAGTGATGATAAATGAAAATGAAATAAGGTGGTCTACCATGAAATGAAATTCCGAATTTTCGCGCTCAATTTCGTGTTTTTGTTCGTAACAAAATCGACCGAGTAAATGGAGCTTAACATTTCGTTCATCATAAATCCTATCCTAATAGTCCAAAGGAACGATATTTTAACATTTTTTAATAATTTTAAACGGCATGTATTATGTAATTTTAACATCAAATTTGTGTTTCGTTCGTGTCCGAAATTTCGGAAATCATTTCATGGTAGGCCTACAGGACTTATGGTAGGCCAAATCAATCACTATGGTTTCCAGGGAAACCGCGAGGTGGTCGACTTGACAGAGTATATCGCTAGTAATAGGATTACTAATCCCCGTTACTAACAATTCTTTCTATCCCCTCGAGATGTAAGTAGGAACCGCCCCAGACGGACGTATATCGACTAAATAGGCGGCGTACTGAAAAAGGGCCAAATTAAAAGTACCCGTAACCGGCGAGCGTGTATGGAAAGATTAGATAGATAGAGGAGTAATTATAAAAAAATATTTTTGCATTTAAAATTGCAATAAATAGTTTTTTAACAAAAACCTTTAGATTTCAAAAATAGTCATGAAAATCGCATCAAAATCGATCGGAATGGCAAATGTTATTATTGAATGGAGACAGTGTGATAAATTATCTAGTGCAGTGATTCTCGACCACTGTGCCGTGGCACTTTTGTGTGCCGCCAAATTTTAAAAGTGTGCCGTCAAATTTTGCAAACATTTAAAATTTTCGTCATAAACTATTTATGCAGTGTGTGTGTGTGTGTGTGTAGTAAGTGAATAATTTTTATCTTTTCCTTTGTGTGCCGCCAAATTTTGAAATGGTTAAATATGTGGCGCAACAAAAAAAAAAGGTCGAGAATCACAGATCTAGTGTGAGTACTGAGAAATCGATTGTTGACGAAACAATGCCGCTGGCGCAGGGGTCTGCGGCACCGTAACCTGACAGCGATGAGGGCAGCGACGCAGCGCGGGCTGGCGGCGCTGGCGGGCCCGGGCCACGCGGGCAGCGCGGGCCCGCTCGCCGAGCCGGCGCGAGCACGCCGCGCGCAGCTCACCGTGCAGGGCTTCCGCTCCAACCCGGCAGGCACGTTATGGGCCCAGACCCTCAACAAAAAGTATTGTTTTAAATGTTTTAGTATTGTTTTAATAGTCGTCATTGTTAACTTTGATTAAATTGCATCACATTCATGTTGTGTTAACGCGTTTATTGGTTTTTATGTCTAAAATATACGATGTACATTTTTGATTGTTATCTGTCGTGTTTTTTTTTTTCAAATAAAATAATAATAAAAAATAAATTTGTTAAGGTAAGCCCTTAACGAACTTATTTTTTATTATTATTTTTTCTTGGTAGATAGGTTATGGGCCCAGTATCTGGGTAGTTACGTTATGGACCCAATTTCTTGGTGTATGTACGTTATGGGCTCATTATATCGATAGATATAGTATTTTAAAAGAATGAATATTGAATGGTAACCTCACCAGTGCGGGATTATAGGTCAGGTTAGTATGAATAGCTACTCCTTTAAGTAGATATAGCCAGATTATATTTAGTTGATACGTTATAGCCCCAGTGTTCTGACAGTAACGTTATATATTCAATTACCTAGCAGATATTTATATTTATTTATTAATATTTATTTGTGAAAACATGTAATTGGCTTTTTGTGTTTCATGTTTTTTATTATACTATAAAATTTTCTAGCTATAGATTTTTCTTTATTAAAAAATAAAATACGTTATGGGCCCATTGTGACACAACGGCAGAACTGACTTATCATAGAAGTTTCTGACAGATTTATATCATTCCAAGTATTTGATTGCATTCTTGTCTCTGTACAGATCCGGAGAGCCACATACTGTTCTTCGATATTGAGGGTCTTATTGTTGAGCTTCTGAGCGAAGAGTACTCAGCCATGAGTCCCGCCAGCTTGGAGGTAATGCTATTTCAATTATTCATTTATTTATTTAAACTTTACTGCACAGTGGAACTATGTACATATGGCGGACTTAACACCAGACGGTGTTCTCTACCAGTCAACCATTGGATAAACAGAGAAATACGTAGGCGGTGCATTATTGAATTGAAGAAATATATATATTATTTTATGCAACTTAGAATGACAAACAATCTGACGACCCACCTGATGCAAAGTGGTAACTGTCACCTATATACATGAGCAGTACCGTGGACATAACAGAGTAAACTGTTTCGCCCATGATACCCCCCATGCGTTGCCATTCCAGAGGACTCAGGTGTTATTCCTCTGTACCCTGTAAATTCACTGCCATATTCCACCCTTCAAATCGAAACACAGCCGTGCGAAAACAACTGCTTCACGGTAGAAACATGAATGGGACAGAGGTACCCAAGCAAACGACTTTTGTACAAAGTCTCCTTCTGGTAAAATACTTAATATTCATATTTTAATTGAATTCATCTGTTTACATTGTCATTAAGTTCTATTGAAACAGACTATACACTCATATATCTGTCGGTAGGCGGCCGGACTTATTACGAGCGAATACATGAAGGTGGCAGCACTGACGCAGTCAGCCAGTCCGGACGCAACCAAGAGAATATCAGGTACATATCCGATTCCCCAATTGTACTTCTACTTAAGCTTTCCACTCTTACCATTTAGACAATTGGCAAACAAATTACACGGTAGATATGTTATCGTTACCGCTCGCATGACAATGAACAAGATGCTAGATAATGCTTTCTCTTTCTGACATATCCGTTATTATGGAAAAAATATTTTTCTTTGCCGTTTGTCTATAAGCGCTTAATAATATCACAGGAAATGCAAAAAAAAATAACAATAAAAGCCACTAGAGCATAGATTTTCGATAATATCCGTGGTCTATATCTAATACATATGACACGCAATAACAGCAATAGTTAGAATGAGACACCATTATAACAAAACACGCATGTCTGAGCAGGAACGAAAATAACCAGTCTTTGGAATCAACTTCCAGCAGCAGTATTTCTGAACCGATACGACAATATAACCTTCAAGAAAAGAGCATATTCCTTTTTAAAAGGCCGCCAGCACACCTGCAATGCCGCTGCTGTTGTGGGTGATCATGGGCGGCGGTAGTCACTTACCATCAAGCGAGCCGCATGCACGTTTGTCACCGGTGTTATAAAAAAAAAATTAAGGTCCTCGTATTAATTTTTTTTTAATCTTCTATGTACAGACATCGTTTACTTCCTCCTTTCATTTAACAGTTTCCTTTTGTCGGTGCAACTAATTCATGCATCTTTTTCCAGCCAGCTCTATCCCAGGCCATATCCTTGACCTCCCTATACGACATGACACCTAGTGTTTCCTTTATCTGTCCCATGTAGTTATTCTTCGGTCTTCCTCTTCCTATTTTGCCCTCTGTCTTTCCTTCTACTATGCTCTTAAAAGAATCGTCATGTCGTATAAGGTGGCCCAGCATTTTGCCTCTTCTATTCTCTATTATTTTAATTAATGTTCTTTTCTCGTTCACTTTGTTCAAGGACTTCCTCGTTCGTTAGTTTTTCTATCCAGCTTATCCTTTCCATTCTCCTTCATGTTCACATTTCGAATGCCTCAAGCATCTTTCTTTCCTTCTGCGTCATTGTCCATGTTTCACACCCATATGCTATGCTCCAAATATAATATTTTATAAATTTCTTAAGGATCGTTTACTTACAATATTAAAATTTATTATATATATATTTATTTCTCTAATTTTACGCTTACGCTAAACGGAAAGACTTCTTCGGCCGCGTGAAAGACAAGGCCGGGGATATGGAACGCATACTGAAAGAGAAGGACAAACATGGTTGGTAATTGCTTATATGTATTATTCGTGAATTTAGAGGGTACAGAGGAATAACACCTGAGTCCTCAGGAATGGCAACGTATGGGGAGTATCATTGGCGAATCAGTATACTCTGTTATGTCCATGGTACTGCTCATGTCTATAGGCGACGGTTACCACTTTCCATCAGATGGGCCGTCAGCTTGTTTGCCATTCTAAGTTGTATAAAAAAAAAGATTTACATACATACATATCTGTCACGACTGTCTCCCATTAGGGTAGGCAGAAACAATGGAACGCCAAATGCTTCGATTCAAACAGACCTCTTTCGCTTCCTGCACATTTCTCAATCTTTTCATACACGCTCGCCGGTTACGGGTACTTTTAATTTGGCCCTTTTAGAGTTGTTTTATGAGGGACGCTGCTGCCCATCCCTCGCCTTCCCTTAGTCGCCTCTTACGACATTCACGGGAATGGTAGGGGCGGCTCATTCTATGCCAGGACACACGGTGGCAAATCTTAGATAACAAGTGTTTATTTACAATCTATTAATGAGGTATATTTTTTTTAATGGGTGATAATGGAATGATAACCCCATCTGTGCTATCGGTATACACCGGCGGGGCACCAGTGAAGGATGATAGGTGAGGATGAAACAGGTCAGGTTAGCTCATCGTGACGAATTTAACAAGAATTTGCCACGAATTGGTTTCCAGATGGAAACACGTGGAGGTCGACCTGATATGGTATATTGTCAGCAATGGGGCTGTCAAACCATATTACTGACAATCCCTTTCCCCCCTTATGAGGTATATTAAAAAAAACCTTCTCCTAGGTATCCTGGCGAAGATGAAGGAGGGTGCAGAAACGATGCAGACCAAGTTGCAAGCGAAAGCTGAACAGTTGAAAGGTCATCTGGAGGTGAAAGGTAAGTGTAGGGTAAGATTACATGACAGGTGCTTCCAAAGAATATGTGTAAATATAAAGGAATTTCGGTGGAATATTTACTTTCGTCACCTACTTCATTTCACATTTAGGTTGCTGGTTCAGGGCTCGCGTATCTCGCTCTCTTTTTGGCGGGGCACCAGTGAGGAATGATTAGTCAAGATGGAGCAGGTCAGTTAGCCCATCGTGAGAAACTCACTATGAATCAATCACTATGGTTTCCAGGAGGGACCCCTCCTGGAAGGAGGAGGAGGTTGTCTGGTCAACCTCCTCGCGAGGATATATTGCTGGTAATAGAGTCGCTAATACCCATTACTAACAATCCCCTTTCCCCCCCCTACACTTCCGCTGTTAGGAATATTTTAAAAATGTTCATTCGGTCCGAATAAATGCGTAATTACTGTTATATGAACCTATCAATACAATACAACAAGACAAAAAAGTCCTATGTTGTTGAGGTTTTATTTATTTTATTTTTAAAAATAGATTTTCTTTTTTTTTTCTGTCAATATTTTGTTATTATGGAACGTCATTTTAAAATATTACTATTATGGAATCGACGGATTTTAACGAAACTTGATACAATTATTCTTCATACTCCTGGGCAGGTTATAGTATACTTTTCATCACGCTACGATCAATAGGAGCAGAGCAGTGAAGGGAAATGTTAAAAATGTCCACCCGTGCGTCGCCGGGACGGGTCGCTAGTATATAATTAAATAATTAAGTTTCATACTAGACAGTAAGTACGTGAGTTGCTCTCACTGCGGTCGCAGATCTGGTTTATAAAACAAACCAAAAAAAACTTCACTTTATAGGGCGCTCGGTTGCCTTGTTACATTGTTTGACAGACACGTGCAAAGGTGAGCGCGCACTAAGCCGCGCTTTTTACCTAATTTTAAATATTATTTATTGCTCCACCAACAAATAGCTACTTCAAATTCGACTGAAAAATGTCGACGAACGATAAGACGTTCCATTGTCACTTTAATTTGAAAATATTCCAATTTGTATTTGCATAGTTGTTTCGGTTTGAAGGGTGGGTGGGATATGGTGTGAATTTACAGGGTACAGGGGCATAGCATCTTAGTCCGGGGGGAAAGGATTGTTAGTAATGGAGACTAAAGATCCCATTGCTAGCAATATACCCAACCAGGTCGACCTTCTCGTGGTTCCCCCTGGAAACTATTATGGTTAATTCCTGATGAAAAAAACACCTGAGTCCTCAGGAATGGCAACGCATGGGGGGTATCATGGGCGAAACAGTATACTCTGTTATGTCCATGATACTGTTCATTTTTTTTTTTTATAGAACTTAGAATGGCAAACAAGCTGACGGCCCACCTGATGGAAAGTGGTAACCACGCCTATAGACATCCCATGGACATAACAGGTGGTTTCGCCCATGATACCCCCCATGCGTTGCCATTCCTGAGGACTCAGGTGTTATTCCTCTGTAGTAAATTCACGCCATATCCCAAAAAAACACAGCCATGCAAACACAACTGCTTCACGGTTGAAACACGAATGGGACAAAAAGCAATCGACTTTTGTACAAAGTCTCCCTCTGGTTCATATTTTGGAATTACCACTTTCCATCAGGTGGGCCGTCAGCTTGTTTGAAATTGTATTTTGAATGCAAAATCCGTTGTTCAATTATTACTAAACTAATATGGGCAACAAAAATGGGCAAATTTTATCGATTATCTTATAGGTTACAAAGAGAAACACCAAAATAAGTTTAGAAATGGCGATGTAATGTCGTAAAATAACCACAAAAAACATACAAATCGAGAATATCCTCCATTCGGAAGTCGAGAGTTCACGTCACATTTCATGTTTTTACCAAAATTTTTACCCATCAAAAAAACCCTTCAGGGTTTTTTTTTGATGGGTGAAAATGGTATGGTAACCCCGCCTGCGCTAACGGGATACGCTGTCGGAGCACCAGTGAAGGATGATAGATGAGAATGAAAACAAGCCAGTTAGCCCATCATGATGAATTCATCAGGCATTAACCATGATAGTTTCCAGGGAGAACCGCGAGGAGGTCGACCTGGTTGGGTACATTGCTAGCAATGGGATTCTCAGTCTCCATTACTAACAATCCCTTTCCCCCCCATACCCCCTCGTGTTGGAATGCTAAGGAATGTAATAACTACTAACAGGAAGTACGAATTCGATACACATATTCTGTTTACTAGTGCAATAATAGTGTTATTAAGAATATTCATTTGCGTCCAAGGCGAGCCACATTCGTAAATGATTTTGTGTGACCAATATGTGGGGCACACGGGTGTGGATGGCGGCGAGCGTGTTGGCGTACATGTTCGATGTATAACGTTTATATTACAAGTATAATGACATCTTTAAAAATAATAAGTAAATAATCAAAAACTAAATAATTTTTTTATAATTTTTGAGGGAACTTTACAGCTATAATAACTTAATAATTAAATTTATATGACAATAAGTTAATTTAAGGCTATCACACATAAGGTTAACGAAAATTGAATTAGTTACAGTCTAGATCGGTGTTTCCCAACGTGGGGCCCACACCCCACAGGGGGGCAATTTGATAGTTAAGGGGGGGCAATTAAAATGGACTCGAAGCGATTTTAACCCTCTTGTTCCGGTCCATTTTAATTGCAATGCTACGAGTAGATATCGATGCAAAATTTAACAAATAAAATAAATAAAAAAAAATGCTGTAAATAATTATTAGGTATAATTTCGTTTGATGTTATCAAAATATCAACTGGGCGATTAGCGTCGTCAAGTAAACTTTGTCGGGGAAAATTATGTAAAAATTTTTGAAATGTTCAAGAACGTTCGAAAAACGTTGAGAAACACTGGTCTAGATAAATCCCTCTACTTGCGTCGGGGGTTAGTTTTTAATCCATTTTAATACAGTTTCTATAAAATAATTTTGAAAGTATGTATGTATATCCTTTTAATTAAAATATTTTTTTTTAAGTTATAGCTTTACAAGTAACCGAGTTATGACAAACAAAAAAAATTATTTTTAACAGACTTCAAAAAGAAGTACGTTCTCAATTCGGTTATATTTTTTTTATGTTTGTTACTTCATAACTCCGTCAGTTGTGAACCAATTTGAAATTGTTTTTTTTATCTGATAGGATATACCTACAGATGGGATCACCATAGAATTGTTATCAAAATCTGATCAATTTTAATCAAGTACTTTATGTTTTTACACCATGATGACTAACAGGTTTTGTCAAAATTGAAATTAGTTTTTTTTTTTTGTGAAACACAATCTTTGTTGATGGAAAAATGCTACGCTTGACGTTGTTACCGACCGTATGTTTTCAACACAAGAAAGCCTACGCCCTCACCAAGGTAGTCTAGATTTGCAGTAAACGATCTCTAGTTTAATTTCAATAATTGAATCTTAATGCTATGGTCACAAATGTTATATTCCCTTGATACTGCTATAGGGCTTGGCTAGTTTCGAAATTCACCGGGTGTTCTCTGGTTTTCCTTTGTTCTGTTATTATTAACAGTATGGGTATGTAAAATCTATAAATTATGCCTCGCTTATCTAAAATAGTAAGTACTGAGTATTCTGGTTTTGATTGTGTTAATTTTGAGTGATAATTCCTTAAAAATAAGAGAAGAACATAGACTACGTTATATCCCGTTCATGGGTATATATTACGGACGATGCCGCGGGTATATGCTAGTTAAGTTATAATGGTATGTGTGAATACCAGAAGGAGACTTTGTACAAAAGTTGTTTGCTTGTGCACCTTTGTCCTATTCGTGTTTCAACCGTGAAGCAGTTGTGTTTGCATGGCTGTGTTTCCGTTTGAAGGGTGGGATACGGCAGTGAATTTACAGGGTACACAGGAATAACACCAGAGTCCTCAGGAATGGCAACGCATGGATGGTATCATGGTCGAAACAGTATACTATATTATGTCTATAGGCGACGGTTACCACTTTCCATAAGTGGGTTGCCAGCTTGTTAGTCATTTTAAATTGCTTAAAAAAAAAAGAATATCGCAGAAGAACTAGAACGATGCCTAACACATTAATTAATTGAGAAATCTAACCACAATTATGAGTCAAAATGGGGATTTCCTAATTGAAATAAAAATAATATTGTTATTATGTATTAATTTCATGTAAGAAACATAATAAGGTAATTTTCAATCGACTTAAAAAAGAAGGAAGTTCCCAATTCGGTTGTGTTTTTTTTTATGTTTGTTCTCTCATAACTCCGTCAGTTGTAAACCGATTTTGGAAAATGCTTTTTTTATCTGAAAGGGTATAATTACAGATTACCATTTTTTTTTGTAGAACCCCATACTGTAGTCTGTAAAAACCTGTGACACTGCGACCTTTGCATGATCTTCTGCGCTCGCCCTTTTTTAAAGTTTGCTGCTAATTCTTTTTTTTTTATACAACTTAAAATGGCAAACAGGCTGACGGTCCACCTGATGGAAAGTGGTAACCGTCGCCTATAGACATGAGCAGTACCATGGACATAACAGAGTATACTGTTTCACCCATGATACTCCCCATGCGTTGCCATTCCTGAGGACTCAGGTGTTATTCCTCTGTACCCAGTAAATTCACGCCATATCCCACCCTTCAAACCGAAACACAGCCATGCAAACACAACTGCTTCCCGGTACTAACACGAATGGGACAGAGGTACCCAAGCAATCGACTTTTGTACAAAGTCTTCCTCTGGTAGATTTCCAAGAGCGGGGGACCACGGGGAGAAGGAAAAGGGAAGCAGATAGATTTTCAAATGGAATGATGCAGGATAGCTTTGTTAACCCTTATTTGCACGATTTCTTTTATTGGTGAAATAAATCAAGGTGATAGAATTCATGTTCAAAATTAAAGGAAATATTGTTAAAGAAATAAATTTGACAGCTATGTTTTTTTTTCTGCAATGGACATTAAAAAAGTATCCAGACACGATCAACTTAAAGTGAACATGTTCTTTTATATAATTTTTGGACATTCAATGTTATGATGGAAATTTCCACTGTTATGCAAACAAGGATCAATTTCTGAGCTATGTTATTGACAATTTTGCTGTAGTTTTCAATAATATTTGTTTCTTTTGTGTGTGTGTGTGTGTGTATGTGTATGTGTTTGTGTGTGTGTGTGTGTGTGTGTGCGCGTGCGCGTGTGCCTGTGCGTGTGCGTGTGCGTGAGCGAGTGCGTGTACGTGTACGTGTGTGTATGATGTGTGTATGTGTTTTCATTTGTATTATGCATTTGTGCAAACTTTATTGGCTGATAAATTATTATTTATATAATTGTCAGATGTGTTCTGTTACAGTAATGGGGTCTAACACCCTCATTCCTTTTTTTTAATGGATGATAATGGAGTAGTATCCCCGTCTGCGCTGTCGGTATACACTGGCGGGGCACCAGTGAGGGATGATAGGTGAGAATGAAGCAGGTCAGTTAGCCCACCGTGACAAATTTAACAATAAATCCATCACGATGGTTTCCTGGGGGAACCACTAGGAGGTCGACCTAATATAGTATATTGCTAGCAATGGGGCTAATATTACCCATTACTAACAATCCCTTCTCCCCCCGGCCTCATAGCTAGCAATGTCCCTATCAGGATGACTTCCACGCGGTCCCCGGAAACCATCGTGGTTAATTCTAGTTGAATCATTTACAATGGGCTAATTGACCTGCATTTATCCTCATCTATTATCTATCACTGGTGCCCCGCCAGCGTATACAGATAGCACAGGCAGGGTTACCATTCTGTTTTCATCCATTAAAAAAAGCTATGTCCTTAAATAAATAAATAAAATGCTAATCTTCCCGATGAGTGAAACTATAGTAGAAGAATCGAATGAAATGACACTATTAAAACAAAATTATGCATCACACCGTTTTTATTATAAAAAAAAAAATTGACAATTCACTTTTAGAATACCAGGATAAATAAAAAAAAAGAAATACTGTTCACTTTATAAGAATGTGTTTATTTACACTTTGGCAGTGATGGCATGAGATTTATTTACAAAGAGAGTTACTTATTGAGACCTTTGTGTTCATTGAGCAATTTCCCTTCCGTTATGTAATGCTATTTGAGGTGAGTGGCAACACTACGCGCCGATTGTCGACTGGCAACATCGCTGGTTACCCATAATGTTGCCAGAGACAACAGGCACACGGTAGCGTTTTTGTCAACGCCACCGAACATCCCTATTTAAATAACTGTTATTTCAAATAACATTCATAAAAATAACAGTTATTCGAAATAGCAGTTATAGTCGGTTATTGATTTACCAAGCGCGGAGGCCGAGTCCGTGAACGCCGAGTCCGGCAACGCCGAGGCCGTAGGGGGCTACACCGAGGGGTGCGACGCCAAGAGGGGCAGCAGCGTAGGGGGCGGCAGCATAAGGGGCGACAGCTAGAGGAGCTGCAACATGGGCGGCTCTGGCGGCTGCGGCGGCTCCGCTGAGCGCTGCAGCCTGGGACTGGGCGGCAGCGACAAGGTTCTGGCTAGCTGCTACTCCACCCCAATATGCGTTCTCGTTAATGTCACGAGCGGTTTCGGACGCCTGACGGACGGCTTCGGTGTTGTATTGGATGGCGGCTTCGGCGGCACGCGCTTGACCCTCGCCGATGGCGCGGGCTGTGTCGGTGGCGACCACGGTAGCGTCGATGGCGGCAGCCTGAGCGTCACCGGGGTTCACTCCCAGGACGAGGGGGGAGATGAGTCCAGCGGAGGCATAGCCGAGGACGGCGACGAAAGCGAACTGTGAATGTGAAGAGTCTGTTAGATTTTATAGGTTTTTATTTTACCAGGAAAGGAAAATGATTGGAAAATTCACATGGACGTTTAATGATATAAAAAAATATTATTACATGAACGCCGTAATGATAAAATTAGTACTCTTTATTCAGTCATCAAAGAATCGACTCTAATATTAACAAGACACTTCGATGAACGAGATGTTTGGATGACACAATTGTTTAAGGATATTTCAATATACTGTCTACAAATGGATTTTTCTTTATACCAAGCAGTCGACTGTTATTTGGTATTATTAGTATTTAAAAACGCAATACTTAACGGAAATAAAATTAAGTTAGGTCTATTAATAAATTAAATAATTTGAATACAATTTTATTTAATTAGCTATTATTTTAATTTACGAAAAACTCCATTTCCATCTAATCTACTATCTAATTACAGGAAATTAGGCTTTGTATTATTAAAAAAATGCAATATTTACACTTGTAAAAAACGTATAAATATTTATGACCGTTGTAATCAGACACGTGCTTCCTTCACAGCGACATTTGCATACATATTTTTACAAAACAAAGGCTTGATCTATTTAATATTGCGTTTACTTCCCTCGTATGGGCGCTGAACCGAAAATGCCGAGCTAATTTTTTTAATACTGCTAATCACTAATTAAACTTTAAACTATCTGCGTACGTCACGCAATCGCTTAACAATGAGGCGTTTATGTCAAAATCAATTAACAATGATGAAATTATGACGTTGCTTTTTGTTGCGAGATCGGTTTTCGTTGATGTTTGATTATTGGTTTTTTTGTATAATCTTGAATTCTCGACTGATTCATGGTATATCAATTAACGAATATTACTAATGCCTAATGAATAATTCATTATCCATTCCTTATGGTGCTCTATGGGGAGGTCTATTTTTATCAGTGGACGATTAATGGCTGAAGAAGTAATGTAACAATGAAGTATTTAATTGTTTTTGCATTTTTAGCATTGTGCACTTTAGTTTGTTTAGTTAAATGCAATTGTAACGTATTACCATAAATATGATTTATCTATAGTATGCTTAAGTTATTGGACATGATCATCTTTATTCTTTATTTAAGAAGTTAATTGTCTATTACTGAACATGGACAGACTGTAGAACGTAGTTTTTTTTTTTAATTATTCTGATCTATGATCCAGATATTTGTATTTTTTTTTTAATTTAAGGCACACAGACAGCTGTAACAATAAGTAACTACACACTTAATAATTTAACTATTAAAGTTTGCAAAAATGTATAATACATATTATACGTTGTGTATTTTAAATTATATTGTATAATTGCCAATATCGTTTCTCGATTGAGGAGATATGTTTTTTTATTCTTATAAATTATTAGATAGATTTAACTTAAAGTGAATTTGTTAACTTTTGGTGCCTTAACTGCTTAACCAAACATCATTGAATTTGATATAATTGACATGCAATATTTGGAATCAAGAAGAATATGTTACGAGCGTTGACTAGTTTTATTCTTATTAAACAAAATAAATAGATCGTGCAGACGTAGTTGTTGTTAAACAGTAGTAGAAATATATTTTGAGACGCGTAACTGTATTGGAAAATCAAGTCGGACATTTTCTCTTTAAGAACTTCAAAACGTCTTTTATGCTTACGTTAGACATTTAGCTCGCTTACATACCCCGATACATTTATAGTTATTCATATGTATCGACTCTATATTTGGACAACAACAATGCACGTCCTTGACCTAAACAAATATAATATTATGTATGCTAAACCTGTCTGTGACCGAATAAGCAAACCGTTATGACGAGACCTTCAAACGTGATATATGCGTTGTGGTAATCACTACCTCATTACGTTACAGCGCTTTTCTGTTACGACTATTGTCCTATTAAATGGACAGCTTTTTTGGACGCGATTAACGCTTCAGAATATCTATTCAGTATTATGGAGCCGCTAAACGTTAAATGTTATAGTTATTTGGTTTGCAAAACAGTTATTGAACACGTTATTGAGCAATGCATCTTAAATGTTATTGTTTTTATTCGAAAATATCTAGCTAATATTTAGTTATTTTATTGGTTATAAAGTGTTAGCTTTTATCCGTGACTTTGTTCGTGGCAAGGATAATATATGTAAACCGACCAGTATAAAAATAGCCTATATTCTTTTCCATACGCGTATGCCAAATTTCATGATGATCGGTTAAGCCGTTCGACGTCAAGAGTAAAAAACGAGCGACCAATAAATTTAAACATTAAAATTTTGTTCAATTTAAACACTCAATTTTACATTTATTATATTGTATTTATGCAACTTTATTTACAATTATCTTAGCTTGTAACTTTAACTAGAATTATTAAAAAAAAAAATGGTAACTACAGTCGTGTTAAAACATATCGAGGTATGAGATTTTCTCACAGACTTAAAAATTTGAATTTAGAATAATATGGAAACAACACGGGAGTAAATCGATTGTCATAAAGAATTTTCAAAACAATCAAGAATGCACAATGTAATCGTGTGACATAACCACAAAATATATAATCGAATTGAGAAACACTTAAAAATAAAACTTTGTAGTAGATATTAAAGTACAATTTTAAATAATGCTTGAAGTTATGTCATGCAAATAAGTATTGAACAAATTCGACCTTGTCAATGTTAAATATTTGCAAGTGCTTTTAATTAGAGCAAACGACATTATGGATATGTTTTGACAAGGCCGAATCAGCGATCAAAGGGCCGAAATAATGACGATTGTATACGTAGATTAATGACATTTAACACACTTCCTTACTGTTAACTACCGGTTTTTGACAACACTACTGTCATGGTGAACATATAAATTGAATTGGTTACGTTAAAAAGAAAATATATTTAAGATGGATATTTTGTTTCATAGTCTCTAATAAAAAAAAAAAATGTAAAAAGAAATCGTCTCCGAGAAACACGTACACTTTCGTTAACACAAATTGGCGCGAATTTTGAATTTCGAACGCGACTCGTCACCATTTCGATCCTTTGTCTGTGGTGTTTATTTTTTTTTATATATATTTTGATAAATGATAAGGAGGATAATATCCTACCAGAAATCTCATCGTGCACTTCTTGTTCAGACTGCGCGATAGCTACTGAATGCTTTGGACAGCGGTGGTTGGTCTTTTATAGTGCCCGTACACTGTATTGAAAGTGTCAGTAAAATATTGATACGGACAAATGTACTCCGTTACAGGTTTGCGAATATTCAGAGGTGATCATGTATGTACTGGTTTTGGGGTGTCACTGTTCCTAAACGTAGGATATTTTGTGATAACTTCATTACTTAATCCAAAATGCCGCAGGAAGTATTAAAAATGATATACCTAAATATATTTTTAAGAGACGTCCAAAATAATTAGGTTGCGTTTTTGTCTGGATTTTTTTCAAAAGCGAATTTTTATTTGCATTAAATATGGTTGCATTAAATGTTCAGTTGTCTATACTTCGAACTTAGATTATATATACAGAGTGTCTCCAAAGAAATGCTTCGAGAAAAACGTGTCAACTTTTTCATAAAATTTTGCGTGATAAACAGTTGTGAGTGATTCCTTTATAACTTCTATATTTATTTTGTCTTATACTTTCTGCATCTTTTTAATGCGTAAACACTCATTTTATTTATTAAATAATACGTCAAGTTACATCTTATGCGTAAGTATATAGAACACTGATAAAAAACTAGTAACGAAACAGTTTGCAGAGGGAGACTTTGTACATAAGTCGTTTGCTTGGACAACACTGTCCCGTTCGTGTTTCTACCGTGAAGCAGTTGTTTGCATGGTTGTGTTTCGGTTTGACGGGTGGGATATGGCAGTGAATTTACAGGGTAAAGAGGAATAACACCTAAGTCCTAAGGAATGGCACCGCATGGGGGGTATCATGGGCGAAACAGTATACTCCGTTATGTCCATGGACGACGATTATGCTCATGTCTATAGACGACGGTTATCACTTTTCATCAGGTGGGCCGTCAGCTTGTTTGCCATTCTAAGTTACATAAAAAAGAGCTAATTTAACAATTAGCTGATAAAAACTTGACCCGTTTTTGAGACTCCATTATCTATGTAATCTAAGCATATAAGTAACTAGCGATGCAGCCGGACTTTACATGATTTAATAGGATTTTAAAAAATAATATTTGAACTGTGTTACTTGCTGATTATGTAGCTTTCTATAGATGATAGAATTTCCAAAATCGTTTGTATATATTTTTTAATGTATCCATAACAAATAAACAAATCTTTTCTATTTATAATATTAGTTAATGGTATAGCTAGTACACGATTAATTTGCCAATTTTCATAATGATTTTTTCAATCAATAGGTCTTGTTGGATGGACCGTGTTGGATTCATACTGCATTTGTGTATTCTGACACTTCCCTATGGTTGGCTGGGAGAGAATGCTTTTAGCATTAAGTGCGCCATGTACACATACATATACTAATGAATAAATAAATAATAAATAAAAGTATATGGAATAAAGAACCTCCTTTTTTGAAGTCGGTAAAAAGCTCAACATCACGACATCGTCGTCGCTCCACTGGGTGGAGCAGGAAGCGTAATGGTATAAAAAATTGTCACAATGCTCCTTCAGCTTAAATGCCAGTGAGGAGTAATAGGATATCGCTTTGGTATTTAATGATTTCCGCCTATCACACCGTAGCGGTGTGATAGGGGCATATTTATTTATTTATTTTACACTTTATTGCACCAAGTAAAAAGAAAAATAACAAATACAGTAAATATTAATGCGAAGTGATAGAAAAGGCGGCCTTATCGCTGAGCAATCTCTTCCAGACAACCTTTGGGTAGAGGACATTGAGAAAAAGACAAAGGGTAGGTGACGCACTATTATATATGTAAATAAATTTATTTACAGTATTCATGCGAATGTACGTAAAATTATCCTGTGTGTAATAATTTGAAAAGATTAACTGTTGAGTTTCCTGCGAGTTCTTCTCAGCAGATAACAGCATCCCGAACCTAGCAGTAGAATCGTATTGAGAAACTCCTTCATTTTGGAGTCTGTTGATAATAAGTAGATTTTGCTCCGCAAAGTAAAACTGTGGTTTTAGCCGTGACAAAATTACTATAGACACCGTAACGGTCCACTATAGACATGAGCAATACCATAGATATAACAGAGTATACTGTTTCGCCCATGATACTTCCCATGAGTTGCCATTCCTGAGGACTCAGGTGTTATTCTTCTGTACCCTGTATATTCACTGCCATATCCCACCTTTTAAACCGAAATACAGCCATGCAAACATAACTGCTTCACAGTAGAAACACGAATGGGACAGAGATGCCCAAGCACGAAGTGGCAAGCAAAAAGCTAGCTTTTAATGAAATTTAACAAAATTTCTGAACTACAAATCAAATCAAGCATACTATCCGCCTGATGAAAATTACTAGTATTAAATACATCACTCATACGTTACCGATCTTTAAGACATTTTAATATTCTCAGAGTTGAAATCGAGGTTTTTAGAATTCAATTTTTTTTTTAAAGACTCATGTTTAAGCGTCTGGATTCTATTTCGATTTTGTTCAAAAATACCCACTGTTTTGATTTACAATCGTATTTCTTTTGAAGTTGAAGTTAAAATAAAATTATTTCCCGAAGTCGTCCTGAATGTAATGTTACAATTCGGTGTGACTGTAAGTAGGTGTCCCTTACACTCGTATGCAGTTAAAACAATAAAGAAACTTTATTATCTTAACGTATCATTAAAAAAAAAAAAAACTTGCGATATAATGTAGGGTTTATTTTACACCCTGTATAATGTCATCTTATACATATATACATTCTGTAGATGCAATATCTCTTTGCTTTATTTTTCAATCGATTTCAAAAACTTGGAACTTTCTGCAATTTCTCCTCTGTTACGGGTGATCATGGGCGGCGGTAGTCACTTACCATCAGGTGAGCCGCATGCTCGTTTGCCCCCTGTGTTGTAAAAAAAAAACGAAGAATGTTCTCATTTCGGTTGTATTTTTTTTATGTTTGTTACCCCATAACTCCGTCAGTTGTAAACCGATTTGGAAAATTATTTTTTTTATCTGAAAGTATATACTTACAGATTGGTCCTAATTACGGCACAATCTATACTTATAATAAATCTGTAGAGGTCAATTCTGTACATGAAAAATAACTATTTCCAAAATAACTATCAGGCGGTGATTAGTGATCGATACTGATGCCAAAAATGCAATCAGTAAAATTTTTGTCTGTTTATCTGTCTGTCTGTATGTTCGTTATAGAAACAAAATCTACTCGACGGATTTTAATGAAACTTGGTACAATTATTCTTCATACTCCTGGGCAGGTTATAGTATACTTTTCATCACGCTACGATCAATAGAAGCAGAGCAGTGAAGGGAAATGTGCCTGTTACATCAAAACCACTGAACCGTGAGGAAGGACATAGGCTTCTTATTTTACCAAAAACGACGGAAACGCGGATGAAGTCGCTGGCAACAGCTAGTCTTTAATATTTTTTTATTTTTTTGGGTTTTTTTATACAACTTAGAATGGCAAACAAGCTGACGGTCCATCTGATGGAAAGTGGTAACCGTCGCCTATAGACATGAGCAGTAACATGGACATAACAGAGTATACTGTTTCGCCCATGCGTTGCCATTCCTGAGGGCTCAGATGTTATTCCTCTGTACCATGTAAATTCACTGCCATATCCCACCCTTCAAACCGAAACACAGCCATGCAAACAACTGCTTTACGGTTGAAACACGAATGGGACTGAGGTGCCCAAGCAAACGACTTTTGTACAAGGTCTCCTTCTGGTGAATTTTCACCCATTAAAAAAAAATTATGATATTATTCGCCGTGTGGTCCCAGCATAGAATAAGCCACCCCCTTCCTTTCCTGTGGGTGTCGTAAGAGGTGACTAAGGGAGGGCGAGGGATGGACAGCAGCGTCCCTCTTAAAACATCCGTTAAAGCCTAACTGCGATTGTCAATCCATCTGCCAAGCGTGACTGGAAAAACCCCCCTTATGAGCGAAGCTTATGTCCAGTAGTGGTCAATTAACAACTAATATGATGTAAATTAACACATTAACAAGTTAACCTTTGTTCTTAATTACATGGGTTAAACCAGTAGGTTAGGGGGGAAGGGATTGTTAGCAATGGAGTTTGACAGCCCCATTGCTAGCAATATGCCCTATCAGGTCGATCTCCACGTGGTTCCCTCTGGAAACCATCGTGAACAATTCCTGTTGAATTCGTCTCGATGGGCTAACTGACCTATTTCATCCTTACCTATCATCCTTCACTGGTGCCCCGCCGGTGTATACCGATAGCGCGGGTGGGGTTACCATTCCATTATCACCTATAAAAAAACCAGTAGGTTGTATTTATAATAATGTATTAATCCATTTAAAACAGGCATCTACGCACTAAGCCACTTCCTCAATTATGTACAATAACAAATATATTTGAGCTACGTAGTTTCCTTAACAATTGCATCAGAATTCTTCGTGTACTTGTATTATTAAAATTTGAAACAGAAGTAAGTTTTCAATTTACCAGAGGGAGACTTTGTACAAAAGTCGATTGCTTAGGTACCTCTGTCCCATTCGTGTTTCAACCGTGAAGCAGTTGTGTTTGCATGGCTGTGTTTCGGTTTGAAGGGTGGGATATGGCGTGAATTTACAGGGTACAGAGGAATAACACCTAAGTCCTCAGGAATGGCAACGCATGGGGGGTATCATGGGCGAAACAGTATACTCTGTTATGTCCATGGTACTGCTCATGTCTTTAGGCGACGGTTACCACTTTACATCAGGTGGGTCGTCAGCTTGTTTGCCATTCTAAATTGTATTAAAATAAAATTAAATTTCAAACTGAAGTAAGTTTTCAATTCGGTTGTATTTTTTTTTAATATTGTTTTTGTCACCTCATAAATTCGTTAGTTGTAAACCGATTTGGAAAGTTTTTCTGAAAGTATATATTTTGTACCGTTTGTGTGTTTTTTTTTTTTTTTATGGGTGAAAATGGTATGGTAACGCCGCCTGCGCTAACGAGATACGCTGGCGGAGCACCAGTGAAGGGTGATAGATGAGAATGAAAACAGGCCAGTTAGCCCGTCATGATGAATTCAACAGGAATTAACCGTGGTAGTTTACAGGGGGAACCGCGAGGAGGTCGACCTGTTTGGGTATATTGCTAGCAATGGGATTCTCAATCTCCATTACTAACAATTCCTTTCCCCCCCGTTTGTGTGGTTTTGGCGCCATGTGTGGTCTCGGCATTGAATGGGTCACCCCTACCTTTCCAGCGGGTGTCGTAAGAGCTGATTAAGGAAA